GAAGACAATTGAAGACTTGGCTGTGGGACCAGGTGTTCGTCTAGTGGATAGCAACAATTGGAAGCAAAGTTAGGACATATGCGACATTGGGTTTACCCAACTTGGTCTTGGTTTTAACTGGCATCTTAATTTATTGTTTAATGAACTTGGTAATGTATCTGTATAATGTGTTTTAATGATTTTTACTGTTTTAATTGTAAGCCTTGTTGTTTATAGTTGACAGCATCACATGATGCTTGTGTTAGGCTGCCCTGAATCCCCCTTTGGGGGGAGAAGGGGGGGTAGAAATGCATGTAATAATAATAATAATAATAATAATAATAATAATAATAATAATAATAAATACTTCACATGCAAAAGTTTAGCCTTTGACATCTTCATTTACAGCAGGGAAAACTCTCACTTGAAATCTGGGAGAATGCCTGCTGGTTAGAGGAGACAGCAGAGATTGGAGGAGGATGAATAAGTGAGAACAATCTCTCTCCCTGCAGCTTCAACCCATTGCTCCATTGTGTCTCTAGAACAGCATTGTGTCTCTATGGCTCCCTCTTCAACATGGCATCCTTTCAAATATTTCTACATGGCTATCATGGTCCCCCTCCCCTCCAAGTGATACCCATCTCTCTAAGCCACTCCTCAAAGTTTCCAGACCTTTGCCCATCGCTGGACATTTCCCACATGGTCAATATCCTTCTTGAGTTGTGGTGCCCAGAAGTGCGCACAGTATTCAAGGTGAGGTTTGACCAACACAGAATAGAGTGGTATTGTTACTTCCTTCGATCTAGACACTGTGCTCTTTCTATACAGGTCAGATCAGGAAAAATAAATCAACCGAGCCCCCTGTCAAAACGTCTGCTACTTTTCACCCCAGGAGAGAATGGGCTAAACTGTCCCTTGTTTATATTTCCAGTTTTGTAGGCATCAGCCCACTGGGACAGCCAAATGACACCAGCCCTGGGCCACTTCAAAATGTGGCTTTTGTTAGACATTCTTTGTTAGCCAAGGATCTGAGGGGTTTTGGAACCCATGATCCAATTTGGATTCACAATCCACCTATTTGCCCAGCAAAGAAACATACTTCCTGCTGTTCTCACTGTAACAAAATGGTACGGAGAACAGGAAAGACAGCGCTGAAGCAGGCATACCGGTGTATTGAAACCCACAGGGATTTGGAATTTGAAGCGAGATCATCAATAAAGTGTGAGAATTCAGTCAGCAGTGCTAACAAACCAATTTGGAGAGTATTAATGGCCCGCAGCAAATGCTTTGTCAGGTCTCCACGCCTGAAAAGAATGTATCCCTCTTTTCTGATTTGGAAGCAACACCTTTGAGGAGACGGATTTATAATCTTGTCAGGTGTGCTGGTGTGTGTGTGTGCTGGGTGCCTATTTGCAACTGTCAAGGAAAGCCATAATGACCTCCCCGATCTGCATTGCAGTCTCCAGAAGTACAAGAGGAGGCGTTTTGTTCCTGTCAATTCGGCAGCGGATCTTCTGCAAACCGCTTACAGCATGTCAGTTCATTTGTAGGTTACAGCGGGATTGTTTTTGTCTCCTTCTCGTTTTCCTCCCCGAGTTTGGCAAGGAACAGATGAGGAGGAAATCATCACCACTGAGAGCTAAAGATATTTTGGGATTGGATGTGGAATTTCAAATTGCCTCTTCCTGAAGATGGGCACACTGTTAACACGCACTGGGAAATTCTCCTTAAACAAACATAATGAAAACTGGAATGTGTCCAGAGGAGGGCGACTAAAATGATCAAGGGTCTGGAGAACAAGCCCTATGAGGAGCAGCTTAAGGAGCTGGGCATGTTTAGCCTGAAGAAGAGAAGGCTGAGAGGAGATATGATAGCCATGTATAAAGATGTGAGAGGAAGCCACAGGGAGGAGGGAGCAAGCTTGTTTTCTGCTTCCTTGGAGACTAGGACGCAATGGAACAATGGCTTCAAACTACAAGAGAGGAGATTCCATCTGAACATGAGGAAGAACTTCCTGACTGTGAGAGCCGTTCAGCAGTGGAACTCTCTGCCCTGGAGGGTGGTGGAGGCTCCTTCTTTGGAAGCTTTTAAACAGAGGCTGGATGGCCATCTGTCGGTGATTTGAATGCAATATACCTGCTTCTTGGCAGGGGGTTGGACTGGATGGCCCATGAGGTCTCTTCCAACTCTTTGATTCTATGATTCTATGATTCTATGAAAACAAATGGGAGCTGTGCAATAGTGCTCCAAGTTGTGTTTCTGTTTGCTATATTCAATTACAGTTGGCCCCACAGAACCCCAAAAGAAAGGTACTTTCACAGGGTTTTCTTGGCAAGATTTCTTCAGAGGAGAGTTGCCCTTTCTCCTTGGTTGAGGCTGAGAGTGTGTGACTGGAGAGCATTCAGAACTTCATATTTATTTATTTACAACATTTATATGCCGCCCTTCTCACCCCGAAGGGGACTCAGAGTATATTGTAGGATCACCTTAGCAAAATTCAAAAAATTGCTACAGATAGGCCCCAAAAGAGTCAAAGCAGAGGCAAAGACAACTGGCAAAATTATACAGGCAGTCCTCAAGTTACAAACAAGACAGGTTCTGGATTGTTGTCGGTTTTTTGGGCTATATGGATGTGCTGTCGCGTGCTGGGCCTATGACAATGTCTGTTTACAGGTTGTGCTTTCTGTGTGCCCAACGGGACGCCGGGGTGCCTTAGCTAAAGGGTCCCATAGGTTTCCCAACACAAAGTTCTGTAGAGGCGCAAAATAGGTTCAACAAAGTTCTTTATTAAGGCTTAAATCTTTGAACAAATGAATTAAATGCTATATAATCTTTAAAAACTGGTAGCTTTCTCAATCTGCCGACAAGGGACAGGCAACTGCTCGATAAACTGTTTCTATCTTCTTTAGGGAAACCTTCCGACCCTCCTTGGGCCATCTTTCTTTACCCTGCTGGTGTGAGATCCCAACTCCCGGCTCCAAGCTGCGTTATGGACAGCCCAAGTGGTCCCTTACCAGGCAATGGTTGCTGTAGATCTGCCAAGCTGGTGTCCTTTAGTTTCTCCACGAAGGCTGTAGAAACTATTTCTTTTGCCGCTGCAAAGGCTGGCTGTATTCCTCCAGCAAAGGCTGTGGAACTGTAACTTTACTCCTCAGCAAAACTGTGGAGGTTTTCCTTTTTCCCCAGCAAAAGCTGTAAGAAGTGAAGCTTTTTGCAGGTGGGACAGAGAGAAGCCCACATGTCCTGCTGTAAGGCTCCAAACTGTGAGACTGAACTAAAAGTCCCCTTTTCCCTCCAAACCTGGGGAAAGGGGCGGATCTAAAGGCTCTAACGATGATTGATAGGTTGTTGGCCCTATGATTGCAACCTGGGGAAAGCTACCCAATTGCAAAATGCAAGGCCCAAATAAATTCAAACAAACGAACAGTGCAAGAAAAAGAATCAAATCTCTTGGCACAGCCGTGCCAGCACAATGACCATGTTCTAGAAGCATTCTCTCCCGACATTTCGCCTGCAACATTACAGCAACCCAGTGATTCCGGTCATGAAAGCCTTCGACAATAGTTTGTTGTCTGTCTGAAGCTAGCGGGAGCAGAACTACCCTTTCCTATTCCACAAGAGTCAAGGTTCAGCCACATAATGACTAGAGCCCACTTGAAGATACATACAGACTTACCAGAATGATTTATTTGTCGTGTCAGAGCAGCCAGTCCATTATATTACATTTCTAACAGAACAAAGCAAACAAACAGAAAAATACACAACTTGTGAGTTTGGTAGTTGGTTAAATGTCCTTTGACCAGTATCTGGCCACTTGGAGTGCTTCGGTGTTGCTGCAAGAAGGTCCTCCATTGTGCATGTGGCAGGGCTCAGGTTGCATTGCAGCAGGTGGTCAGTGGTTTGCTCTTCTCCACACTCGCATGTCGAGGATTCCACTTTGTAGCCCCATTTCTGAAGGTTGGCTCTGCATCTCGTGGTGCCAGAGCGCAGTCTGTTCAGTGCCTTCCAAGTCGCCCAGTCTTCTGTGTGCCCAGGAGGGAGTCTCTCATTTGGTATCAGCCATTGGTTGAGGTGCTGGGTTTGAGCCTGCCACTTTTGGACTCTCGCTTGCTGAGGTGTTCCAGCGAGTGTCTCTGTAGATCTTAGAAAACTATGTCTAGATTTAAGTCGTTGGCGTGCTGGCTGATACCCAAACAAGGGATGAGCTGGAGATGTCTCTGCCTTGGTCGTTTCACTATTGGCTGCTACTTCCTGGCGGATGTCAGGTGGTGCAATACCGGCTAAGCAGTGTAATTTATCCAGTGGTGTAGGGCGCAGACACCCCGTGACAATGCGGCATGTCTCATTAAGAGCCACATCCACTGTTTTAGTGTGGTGAGATGTGTTCCACACTGGGCATGCATACTCAGCAGCAGAGTAGCACAGCGCAAGGGCAGATGTCTTCACTGTGTCTGGTTGTGATCCCCAGGTTGTGCCAGTCAGCTTTCGTATGATATTGTTTCTAGCACCCACTTTTTGCTTGATGTTCAGGCAGTGCTTCTTGTAGGTAAGAGCACGGTCCAGAGTGACTCCCAGGTATTTGGGTGCGCTGCAATGCTCCAGTGGGATTCCTTCCCAGGTGATCTTCAGAGCTCGGGATGCTTCTCTGTTCTTGAGATGAAAGGCACATGTCTGTGTTTTAGATGGGTTAGGGATCAGCTGGTTTTCCCTGTAGTAGGCAGTAAGAGCACCTAGGGCTTCGGAGAGCTTCTGTTCTACAGTCTCAAAGCTCCCTGCTTGAGCAGTAATGGCACGATCATCAGCATAGATGAAACTCTCTGTCCCTTCTGGCAGTGGCTGGTCATTTGTGTAGATGTTGAACATGGATGGAGCAAGCACCAGAATGATAATATTGACATTTTCCAAAGGGAATTCAGATAATGTTCTGCCATTATGCTGCTAACATTCAGCCTAACTGTGTTGAGCTTTTGACTTTTTATTCTGGTGCAGTTTTATTCCTTAAGTCTAATACTGATGTACAGACAACAATATCACAATGATCCAAGGACTTGAGAAGTGCCACAATCTGACGTACCTGAGCTTGGCAAATAACAAGATCACATCAATCAGGGGCCTGAAAAACCTGCCCATCAAGACCCTCTGCCTGGTAAGTCAATTTTTCCTGCAAAAAGTGGAAAACCTACCAATGGAAGAATACATGAGATTAGCTTCCCACTCTGTGGATTGGTTACCAAATGGAGTAAGATTTAGTGAAAGTCTTGCTGATTTTCTAGATGTTGTATCAAAGTTGTCTGCCAAAGCTGTCCAAAGACATAGAGCCCGCAGTGGTGCAATGGGTTAAACCCTTGTGCCTGCAGGACTGCTAACCAAGAGGTCAGCATTTCGAATCTGGATAGAGCTCCCTCTGTCAGCTCTAGCTTCCCACACGGGGACATGAGAGAAGCCTCTCACACGGATGATAAAATATCAAAAATCCGGGTATCCCCTTGGCAATGTTCTTGCAGACGGCCAATTCTCTCACAGCAGAAGGAACTTGCAGCTTTTCAAGTTGCTCCTGACATGAAAAAAAATCCAAAGGTATATCATACCTCTGGTCCACTTACTTAAGTCCTTTTGAGTCTAATGGACATCAGTCTGCATGCAGGCATTATTTAAGACATGCAATATTTATGACCATAATGATGTTTGTAATGTTTGCCAGTCTCAGATGTATGAAGAAGGCCATGGATTGTCATAAGGATGGTTTTTGTGGTGTTATGTTGCTAATGCACCAAGCCTATCATCGGTGGAGATATTTTGTGGTGGTGAAGAAATCAAAGCCTTCAGCTATGACTGGCTGATGAGCTCTGGGATTGGAGAAGACCCAAAAAAGATCCCCATTAGCTGAGCTGCTCTTGTCCTGTAGTGCATCGGATCAAGAAGAAAGGACCAAGGAAAGGAGGACTGGAAGTTAGAGCTTAGAAGAGAACCTGAGTTCAACGTTGATCTGAGCATAAATTCACATCTTAGTCTGACCTGACAGGCCAGGTGCAGATTGCTAACCTTACCTTCGCTATGACTGCAGGCCTGGCGCAGGTCAGCTCCCAAATCAGATTGCACTCCTTCTCTGACTTCCCTCCCAACCTGCTGACGCCTTCTCCTTTTTGTGCTTTGTGCTCCTGATGGCAAAGACACCCCAGATGTGCATTTTTAACAGATGCCTACAGAGAAATGGACAGCGAGGTTAATAGCCTGATTAAATATTTAAAAACCAGGGGGAAATGTCAAGGGCAAACTACTCAGCCAAAATTGCAAAAGAGCATCCATCTCTTCTCCCTAAATATTTATTACCAGAATGGGAAGATTCCCAAGGGATTTCAATAAGCAATGAAAGAGAAATGTGGTCGGCAAGGGTATAATTGCTTATGCACAGAAAGGTTGGCCTTTCTGCATTAAGACTAATAGGAAAATGTATTTATTGCATCACTAAGATACGTGGCATTTTTGGAAGATGGAATTGAAAAAGACCCACGTTGAAGGATTGGTCTGGTTCTCTTAGTCCAAAGTGTCAACTGCCTTGTAAAGAATCAAGTTGGTTGTGGTAGAGTTACTCCGGATGAGCGCGACAGTCATCTTCCAACCATTCTCCTGGAAATTACACCAAATAGACCAGTGTTTCTCAACCTGGGGGTCAGGACCCTGGGCTGGGGGTCACCAAAGACCATAAGAAAACACAGTATTTTCTGTTTGTTGTGGGGGGTGCTGTGTGGGAAGATTGACCCAATTATCTCATTGGTGGGGTTCAGAATGCTCTTTGAACGTAGGTAAACACATCCCAGCGACAACAGCTCCCAAATGTCCAGGTCTATTTTCCCCAAATTCCACCAGTGTTCAAATTTGGGCATATTGAGTATTCGTGCCAAATTTGGTCCAGATCCATCATTGTTTGAGTCCACAGTGCTCTCTGGATGTAGGTGAACTACAACTCCAAAACTCAAGATCATTGATCACCATCCCAGTATTTTCTGTTGGTCATGGGAGTTCTGTGTGGGAAGATTGACCCAATTATCTCATTGATGGGGTTCAGAATGCTCTTTGAATGTAGGTAAACTACACATCCCAGCAACGACAACTCCCAAATGTCAAGTGTATTTTCCCCAAACTCCACCAGTGTTCAAATTTGGGCATATTGAGTATTCATACCAAATTTGGTCCAGAACTATCATTGTTTGAGTCCACAGTGCTCTCTGGATGTAGGTGAACTACAACTCCAAAACTCAAATTCAATGCCCACCAAACTCTCCCAGTAATTTATGTTGGTCATGAGAGTTCTGTGTGTCAAGTTTGGTTCAATTCCATTGTTAGTGGAGTTCAGAATGCTCTTTGATTGTAGGTTAACTATAAATCCCAGCAAGTACAACTCCCAAATGACAACCTTCCTAATGCTGCAACCCCTAAATACAGTTCCTCATGTTGTGGCGATCCCCAACCATACAATTATTTTTGCTGCTCTTTCATAACTGTAATTTTACCACTGTTATGAATTGTAATGTAAATATCTAATATACAGGATGTATTTCCATTCACTGGACCAAATTTGGCACAAATATCCTATACACCCAAATGTGAACAGTGGTGGAATTTGGGGAAAATAGACCTTGGCATTTGGGAGTTGTAGTTGCTGGAATTTATAGTTAACCTACAATCAAAAAGCACTCCGAACCCAGCCCACAATGGCTCTGTACCAAACTTGGCACACTACCTACATGGCCAACATTTAATATTGTGTGGGGGCAGGCTGGTTTTGAATTTTGGGAGTTGTGGTTCACCAACACCAAAAAGGAAGAGGACAGTAGGAAAGATCTTCAGCCTTCTCTGCCAAAAGGGTTCCTAAGACCACCTGAAATATCTGTTTTCTACTGGTCTTTGGCAACCCTCTGAAACCCCCCTCGTGACCCCCCCTGAGTTGAGAAACACTGGTCTAACGTAACAACAGCATCATTTTATATAGGAAAAAATTGAGAACTACAGGTACAAACAGAAGAATCTCCAATGACATTTGTCCTGTTTTTTCCTGAAGGCACAAAATGTATTAGCAGCAGGGAACAAATCGGGGAGGGAACATTGCTTAACCCTCAGATTACCCCATGGATTCTTTCTTAGGATTTGATTAATAATTTCAAAAACAGATATAAGACTTGGCTGTAGGGAATCTGGGTGGAACCAAGAGGGAAAGAAATACATGATGAAACCTAGAATCTTAAATTAATTGAATTGTAGTAAGTGAAACAAGACTGCAAACCTTTGCTATCCTCTGGCTAAAAAGAATTCTTGTGGATTTATTCATTGCCGTAGTTGCACCTTTGGTGCCACGTTGGTATCCATCTGTGAGAAATGACACCAAATCAGGACGGTTGGAAAATGTATATTTTTTTGCGAGATATAGTAGAGCTGATGTAATTCTGCAAAGAGATGTTGCTATAAACCAACAGGCCCCTGATTCAGCGTTGCCACTTCTGCCACAAATTCATTAGGTGCCTTTTGCAAGCCATAATTTCCGGAAGCAAAACAGCCTCAGAAAGTAAACCCAGGATTCAGCCGTGTCTGTGTATAGAAAGACTTAAAATGACAAAAACCTCAAAGGTTCTGATGAGAGATGTAGTATGTCTTAAGGTGGGGGTTTCAATTAAGCCTGCTTAGAAATGAACGCAAAAATATTCTTATTGTTTTATTTCTGACGTTCGTGGCATCCTCTATGCAGGAGACCCAGGCTTTATTTGCATGTGCCTGTCTGTCGCAGCTCTTGTTGGCACCGTAAATGGGCTAACTGTATTTATCTTAACGCTATACATCAAATGTTCACACTGCCTAAATTCAGCAGGTTGGGGTCTGAGGAAGATAAAAAGAACAGGAGGATTTTATTGGCTTTCCCTTCTATGCACATCAAAGCTGCTCACCAAAACAGGCATGATTGGCCCACTATGATGTTACATGATGGGGCACATGGGATCTGTAATGAAACAGGGAAGGCAGGAGCAAACGGTCCATCTTTATGCAGGCCAGATATCTCACCTGCCTTCAGTTTGTGCTTACTTACTTATTTAGGCGATCCCTCGTTGCCCGAGTAGGATGGTCCTCCAGGGGCGGTGTGTCCAAAGGTGACTGTGGAGCTTTATTCTTGATCTTCATCTTCTCCCAGAGTGAGGGCATTGGTTTCCAGGTGGAAGGCGGTCTCGGTCAGAGTTGGCTTGATGCGCCTTCCACTTGGCACGTTTATTATTATTATTATTATTATTAACTTTATTTGTACCCCGCTAGCATCTCCCGAGGGACTCGATGCGGCTTACATAGGCCGAAGCCTCAGAACACAATACAGTAAAAACATAACACAACAATAAACAAAGCAAATCAAAATAGTTAAGCAGAATAACAACAACAGTGACAATACATCAGGACACTTTAAAACTGGGCCGGCCAGAGCAATGGGGTACAGGGTTAAAAGTGCTGAAATGGCAGGAGGCACATAGGATTAAAATAGTGCGGTGTGCAGCAATATTAATTGTACTAAAGTGCTTCTAGGACTTGGGATGGGGAATTCCTAATCTGAGAAGGCACATCGGAACAGCCAAGTTTTTAGGTTCTTTCTGAAAGCTGCTAAAGTAGGGGCCTGTCGAAGCTCTTTTGGAAGGGCGTTCCAAAGTCGGGGGGCCGCCACAGAAAAGGCCCTGTCCCGTGTCCCCACCAAGCGCGCATGCGACGTGGGTGGGATCACGAGCAGGGCCTCCCCAGATGACCGGAGAGAGCGTGTGGGTTCGTAAATGGAGATGCGGTCACGCAGGTAGGGTGGTCCCAAACCGTTCAGGGCTTTGTAGGTGAGCACCTGCACCTTGAATTGGGCTCGGAAAATAAACGGCAGCCAGTGGAGCTCCTTAAACAGAGGGGTAGACCTCTCTTGATAATGAGCCTCGTTTCTCTCTTTTGCCTCCATTCGTGCCTCTTCAAATTCTGCAGCACTGCTGGTCACAGCTGACCTCCAGCTGGAGCACTCAAGGGCCAGGGCTTCCCAGTTCTCAGTGTCTATGCCAGTTTTTAAGGTTGGCTTTGAGCCCATCTTTAAATCTCTTTTCCTGCCCACCAACATTCCGGTTTCCGTTCTTGAGTTCAGAGTAGAGCAACTGCTTTGAGAGACGGTGGTCAGGCATCCGGACAACGTGGCCGGTCCAGCGGAGTTGATGGCGGAGGACCATCGCTTCATTGCTGGTGGTCTTTGCTTCTTCCAGCAGGCTGACATTTGTCTGCTTGCCTTCCAAAGAGATTTGTAGATTTTCCGGAGGCAGCGCTGATGGAATCATTCCAGGAGTTGCATGTGACTTCTGTAGACAGTCCACCTTTCACAGACCTATAGCAGGGATGGGAGGACAATAGCTTTATAGGCAAGTATCTTGGTCTCCCTATGGATGTCCCGGTCCTCAAACACTCTCTGCTTCGTTCAGAAAAATGCTGCACTCACAGAGCTCAGGTGGTGTTGTATTTCAGTGTCAATGTTGACTTTGGTGGAGAGGGGGCTGCCAAGGTAGCGGAAATGGTCAACATTTTCTAATGTTACACCAGTCAGCTGTTTTTCTGGCATTGGAGAGGGATTGGCTGGTGACTGCTGGAAGAGCACTTTGGTTTTCTCGATGTTCAATGATGTTCAGTTTGTGCATGGCATCTCTGGATCCAAGCCCAGTGCATTTCAAGGGATTCTGCCCAAAATTGACCCGTGGTTCAACCATTTGGTCAAGCAAATAGCAATTTTCCAAAATCTGAACCATGGTCAGGTCTGTTAGGGCATGTAAGAAATCAGTTGGTGTGCTAATTGTAAAATAAAGGCATGAAGGTGATCAGTTGGGCTATGCTAGCTGAGCCCGGGAGTTTTGGTTACAGTTACATTTTCAGGCTTGAGCTGTGCAGGTGCTTGCAGAGTGAGAGAGAGAGAGACAGTTTTGGGTGTGCTCTTGCTTCATGAGCTGCTGGAAGGCGATTCTCCACGTGGACATCGAAAGACCGCTCTAACTCTCTCTAAAAGGACATTATGTGAGTCAGTGCAACTGTTCACATGATTGTACATATGTTGTTCTGCATAACGAAGAGTAAACTACTTGTTCTTTACTGATCATCTGCATGGCATATTTTCTTTCTCTGGCAAGACAGCGTGTGGTCTGATCAAACGTGAACGACACATGATTTTACATTACGCCACGAAGTCTAGCATATAGACATCAAATGGCATGGAGGTGTATATGCAACAAAGTTTGGAATTCGTTCAGTTTCTTTAAGAGACAGCATAGCTAGTGCTTTATCGTTTCCACTTTCAAGGGCTTTTCAAGCTTCAAATTCCATTTCGTAGAAATCAAACCTGATCAAAAAAGCGGTTGGCTTGGAAGATCTAAAAGTGCTGCAGGTCTTGGACTTGTCTGGCAATCAGATCAAAAGTTTGGAAGGGCTGGAAGAGCACACGCTGCTGGAGGAGATCAACCTAGAAGATAACCAGGTAATTTCTCCACTTTTACTTTTAATGTCTCCATTCTTTCCCATAACATTGCAGTGGTGGAATCTCAGTCAAAACCCAATCTCAGTTGCATGGCCACTGAAACAAAAGACCAATTGGCACTGTTCTTTTTATTGATGTGATTTTTAATGTCATTTGTTTAATGATGTTTTAACATGGTAACTTTCCACCTGTTTTTCTACTCTTCCTCTCCTTCTCTTTATCTGCACCTGTTTTCATTCTTCTCTTTAGTTGTCTATTCTGGACAAAAGTGAAATAGATGAATAATACAAATAAAATACCAGACTTTATAATTAAACACATTTTTTTTTCAAATGATAAGATTATTTCCCCCAGAACTGTGCTGTTTCAGGCTTTCTTCAGGCTTGTGGACAGGAAGTTAAACATGAGCCAACAATATCATGCAGCGGGCAAAAAAGCCAATGGAAACGGTTCTGGAGACTAGGACGCGGAACAATGGCTTCAAACTACAAGAGAGGAGATTCCATCTGAACATGAGGAAGAACTTCCTGACTGTGAGAGCCGTGTTCAGCAGTGGAACTCTCTGCCCTGGAGTGTCGTGGAGGCTCCTTCTTTGGAAGCTTTTAAACAGAGGCTGGATGGCCATCTGTCAGGGGTGATTTGAATGCAATATTCCTGCTTCTTGGCAGGGGGTTGGACTGGATGGCCCATGAGGTCTCTTCCAACTCTTTGATTCTATGTTTCTATGATTCTATGATTCTAACTTACCTGTCCGAACGTATCTCCCCTTACGAACCACTGAGGACTTTAAGATCATCTGGGGAGGCCCTGCTCTCGGTCCCGCCTTTGTCACAAGCACGTTTGGTGGGGACGAGAGACAGGGCCTTCTCAGTGGTGGCCCCTCGGCTATGGAATGCCCTCCCTAGGGAGATCAGATCTGCTCCCTCCCTCTTGACATGGTTATTCGAGGAAGTGTTTACAAATACAGAGTAGCTAATATAGGAAATCGAATGACCTGACAATGGAATTGGACAATGCTTGAGAATAATGAGACGCTGATGATGTTGCTTTTATTGCTTTTGTAATGTTTTTTTATCTATTATTCTTTTTGTATATTGATTTGTTAGAAACCGCCTTGAGGCGCCAATTGGCTGAGAAAGGCGGTATACAAATACAGTAAATAAATAAATAAAATAAATTTTGGCCTGCATAAATAGGAATCTAGTGTCTAGATCCAGGGAAGTCATGCCCCCCCCCCCCCCCCCACCACCACCACCACTCTATTCTGCCTTGGTCAGGCCACACCTGGAATCACACTGTGTCCAGTTCTGGGCACTGTAATTGAAGGAAAATGTTGACAAGCTGGAATGTGTCCCGAGAAGGGCAACTAAAATGATCAAGGGTCTGGAGAACAAACTCTATGAGGAGCGGCTTAAAGAGCTAGGCATATTCAGCCTGCAGAAGAGAAGGCTGAGATGAAACATGATTTATTATTTTATTTAGTGTGTCAGGGGCAACCAGGCAATTATATTACATTTCTAACAGAAGAAAACAAACAAACAGACAAAACACAAAGTTTGCAGGCTTGGTATTTGATTAAATGTCCTTTGACCAGTATCTGGCCACTTGGAGTGCTTCTGGTGTTGCTGCAAGAAGGTCCTCCATCGTGCGTATGGCAGGGCTCAGGGTGCATTGCAGCAGGTGGTCAATGGTTTGCTCTTCTCCACACTCGCATGTCGTGGATTCCACTTTGTGGCCCCGTTTCTTGAGGTTGGCTCTGCATCTCATGGTGCAGAGTAACGTCAGGAGATAATGCCTCTAGAACATGGCCATATAGCCTGAAAAAACCTACAACAACCCATTCATGTGCATGCTTTATTATAACCTGTTCAAGAGGAGTGAGACTTAAATAAATACTGTTTCTCTTGGGTTGTTGTAGGTTTTTCCAGGCTATATGGCCATGTTCTGGAGGCAATTTTTCTCCTGACGTTTCGCCTGCATCTATGGCAAGCATCCTCAGAGGTAGTGAGGTCTGTTGGAATTAGGACAATGGGTTTATATATCTGTGGAATGACTAGGGTGAGACAAAGGACTTTTGTCTGCTGGGGCTAGCTGTGAATGTTTCAGCTGATCACCTTGATTTGCATTCAATGGCTTAGAAGTGCCTGGGGGGAATCTTTTGTTGAGAGTGATTTTATGTGTCTGTTTGTTTCCCCTCTGTTGTTTTGCTGTTGTAATTTTTGAGTTTTTTAATACCGGTAGTCAGATTTTGTTCATTTTCATGGTTTCCTCCTTTCTGTTGAAATTGTCCACATGCTTGTGGATTTCAATGGCTTCTCTGTGTAGTCTGACATAGGGGTTGTGAGAGTGGTCCAGTACTTCTGTGTTCTCAAATAATATGCTGTGTCCAGGTTGATTCATCAGGTGCTCTGCTATGGCTGATTTCTCTGGTTGAAGTAGTCTGCAGTGCCTTTCATGTTCCTTGATGCGTGTCTGGGCGCTGCGTTTGGTGGTCCCTATGTAGACTTGCCCACAGCTGCATGGTACACGGTAGACTCCTGCAGAGGTGAGAGGATGCCATAGATGCAGGCGAAACGTCAGGAGAAAAATTGCCTCCAGAACATGGCCATATAGCCCGGAAAAACCTACAACAACCCAGTGATTCCGGCCATGAAAGCCTTCGACGATACACTGTTTCTCTTGTTTGGATAATTTATTCTGGAGCTATTATTGCTGTTGTATACAATCATAACAGCTATGGAATAAATATATCATGGGACTAATGTGATTCAAGGGAGGAAGAGGTACAATACATACCTTCACTCACAATCTGCTACAAATGCCTTTTGTGATTTTGAGATACCCAGGGCCACAACCCATGCTGTCTTTTGAGCAGTAAGAACAACAAAACTCAATTTGTTTTCAAAAATGGAAATCTTTGGCCAGGATTCACCTGTCCAGTGTCGTGTTCTATGTCTAGTGTCGTGTTTAGGTGTCTCTCTATCTGATTCAGATTCTTTTTCTGCTTTCGCAAAGAATTGTGTGATTCACCCACCCTTTTGGTAGGGACTGCTTCTCACCTTCCTTGCCCTGTTTCCTTTTTAATAAATACTATTTCTCCCTTTGAATATTCACTAGGTGTCTGAGCTGGGGGAGCTGGAATATATTGAATCCCTGCTTCTCCTGAGAGGGCTGAATCTGTTAAACAATCCTGTGCAGGTGAGGAAAGGCCAGAGGAGGAAAAGCATAATAGTTCAGAGAGGAGTATCTGACTCTCTTCTGTGACAGTGGAACTGATATGCTTGTGTGCCACAAGACAAAGTGTTGAGGACTTTTCTCAGTGCCAGACATTGTTTTGCACCCTGTTCCCCAACATCTGGGCACTAAGATGAGCCGGGGTTTTTTAAACCATGTCAGAAGCAATTTGAGAAACTGCAAGTTGCTTCTGGTGTGAGAGAATGGGCAATCTGCAGAGGCAATGCCCACGGGACACCCAGATGTGTTACCAAACTGTGGGAGGCTTCGCTCATGTTTCCACATGGGAAGCTGGGGCTGACAGAGGGGAGCTCGCCCCGTCTCGCGGATTCAAACTTCCGAGCTTCAGGTCAGCAGTTCAGCTGGCACAAGGATTTAACCCATTGTGCCACCATTAAGAGTATATTTAACTAATTTTAAACTAATATTTAACTAATTTCCCACATGGGAAGCTGGGGTTGACAGACGGGAGCTCGCCCCGTCTCGCGGATTCAAACTTCCGAGCTTCAGGTCAGCAATTCAGCTGGCACAAGGATTTAACCCATTGTGCCACCGTTAAGAGTATATTTAACTAATTTTAAAGGCAGTTATTAAATTTATATAAATAGAAATGTAATGTTTGTTTGTGGGATTAACATAACTCAAAAACCGCTGGACGAATTGCACCTAATAACCCAAGGAGTGACCATCATTAAATCCTAACCCTAACGCTTACCCTAACCCATGACCAACAGAAAGTACTGGAAGGGTTTGGTGGAGTTGTAGTTCACCTACATGCAGAGAGCATGGTGGACTCAAACAATGATTGATCTGGACCAAACTTGGCACGAATATTCCATATGCCCAAATTTGAACACTGGTGGAGTTTGGGAAAAATAAACCTTGTCATTTGGGAGTTATAGTTGCTGGGATTTATAGTTCACCTACAATCAAAGTGCATTCTGAACTCCACCAATGAGAGAATTGAACCAAACATGGCACACAGGACTCCCATGACCAACAGAAAACACTAGAAGGGTTTGGGAGTTGTAGTTCACCTACATCCAGAGAGCACTGTGGACCCAAACAATGATGGATCTGGACCAAACTTGGCACGAATATTCCATATGCCCAAATATGAACACAGATGGAGTTTGGGGAAAATAGACCTTGATATTTCGGAGTTGTAGTTACTGGAATTTATAGTTCACCTACAATCAAATAATTATAATATCTTATTATTATTAGTATTGTATTGCATTACATTATAATAGTAAAAATATTATATGTATATACAGAACGAGAGACCAGATTGCCAATATCCGCTGGATAATGGAGAAAGGCAGGAAGTTTCAGAAAAACATCTCTTTCTGCTTCATTGACTATTCTAAAGCCTTTGACTGTGTGGATCATAATAAATTGTGGCAAATTCTTGGTGGGATGGGCATACCAAGCCACCTTGTCTCTCTCCTGAGGAATCTGTACAAGGACCAAGTAGCAACAGTCAGAACTGACCACGGAACAACAGACTGGTTCAAGATTGGGAAAGGCGTACGGCAAGGCTGCATCCTCTCACCCAACATTTTTAACTTGTATGCAGAACACATCATGCGAGGATGTGCGGGGCTGGATGAATGCAAAGCTGGGGTGAAAATTGCTGGAAGAAACATTAACAACCTCAGATATGCAGATGACACCACTTTGATGGCCAAAAGCGAGGAGGAGCTGAGGAGCCTTCTAATCAAGGTGAAAGAAGAAAGCGCAAAAGCTGGGTTGCAGCTAAACATCAAAAAAACCAAGATTATGGCAACAAGAATGATTGACAACTGGGAAATAGAGGGAGAAAATATGGACAGTGACAGACTTTGTATTTCTAGGCGCAAAGATTACTGCAGATGCAGACTGTGGCCAGGAAATCAGAAGACGCTTCCTTCTTAGGAGGAGAGCAATGTCCAGTCTCGATAAAATAGTAAAGAGTAGAGACATCAGACTGGCAACAAAGATCCGCCTAGTCAAAGCCATGGTATTCCCTGTAGTCACCTACGGATGTGAGAGCTGGACCTTAGGGAAGGCTGAGCGAAGGAAGAGAGATGCTTTTGAGCTGTGGTGTTGGAGGAAAGTTCTGAGAGTGCCTTGGACTGCGAGAAGATCCAACCAGTCCATCCTCCAGGAAATAAAGCCCGACTGCTCATTGGAGGGAAGGATACTAGAGACAAAGTTGAAGTACTTTGGCCACTCATGAGGAGACAGCAAAGCCTAGAGAAGACAATTATGCTGGGGAAAGTGGAAGGCAAAAGGAAGAGGGGCCGACCAAGGGCAAGATGGATGGATGGCATCCTTGAAGTGACTGGACTGACCTTGAAGGAGCTGGGGGTGATGACGGCTGACAGGGAGCTCTGGCGTGGGCTGGTCCATGAGGTCACGAAGAGTCGGAGACGACTGAACGAATGAACAACAACAACAATGTATATACAATATATTACATTACATTTTTTTATTTTATATTATTAGAATATGGTGGTATCCTTTTCTGGAGGCAAGATGGCCATCTGTCAGGAGTGCTTTGAGAGCATATTCCTGCTGGCAAAGTGGGGTTGAATTAGATGACCTTTATGGTCTCGTCCAACTTTTATAACTGTCATCAGACATGCTCTTCCCCTTTCTGAAGATGTTTAAAGATGTCCTTTGAGCCCCTTTGCTTTGGGAATGGGTTGCAATTGCTGCAAGATGGACTTGCTTCTCATTCAAGGCATTTGACAATGTCTCTGATGAATGAGCCACGGCATCCTGTTTGTCAATGCCAGCAAAACAGGTGATACAACACATGTTTATAACTTGTCCTGAGCGGAGTGGAAGATTAACTGCAACAGCATCTCTGTTCTGATGGCTTTTTAGATACTCTTTGAGATGATTCCCAAGGAAGACGGATTACTCTGTGACTCCTTCTGTGTGGATGTGGCTTGGCACAAGGCCCCGGAAATGTCTCCTGTGCACAGTGCAGCTCTTACGTTTTGTCTAGGGAATAAAAATAACAGGTTGGCTGGGCTTCCCGTGTCTGTTTGCGAGGAAAAATGCAAATTGTTAGAGCGAAATTTTTGGCAAATCCACCAGCCTTTGTCAACGGAGACCAGGGATGCTTTGCATAAATGTTGTGGCATGGAGCCACCCATCCACAGGGCATTTTTGTTGTTATTTTAAAGAGACTTCTGTCCCAAGTCTAAAGAATGATAATGGGAAGTAGCTATGTACGAGGGTTGAATGAAAAGTAATGCCTCCACCTTCGTCACTTGGGTTTGGATGGGAATATTTTAATAAATCAAACTCAGAAATAATTCTTAGAATGTGCTCTTTAACTATCACTATTTATTTATTTATTTATTTAGAGCTTTTATATCCTAATCTTCTTAACCTCTGTAGAAGGACTCACTTTTCCACATAATCACCAGACAATTGGATACATTTCTGCCAACAATGAACAAGTTTTCTGAAGCCATCACGGAAGGAGTCGACACTCTGTTTCTGCAACCCATTGTGCACAAATCTTCCGATAGCCAAGCAAAACAATAATGTGACCCACATGTTCTTGTGGAATGCCGATTATGCTTGAAATTTCTCTCTGAGTGATACGATGATCATCCTGAATCAATCTGTCAACCTTTTGCTTGTGAAACTCGGTGGTTGCTGTCACAGGACATCCAACTCTTTGTTTGTCACGCAAGTCAGATATTCCCACCTCAACATCTTTAAACTTACTCGCCCAACGACGCACAGTACTCTTTACTTACTTACTTACTTAGGCGATCCCTCGTAGTCCGAGGATGATGTCCTGGCAGTGGGTTCGTGGGTGACTGTGGAGCCTTATTCTTGATCTGCATCTTCTTCTGCAGTGAGGGCATTGGTTTCCAGGTGGAAGGCAGTTTCGGACAGGGTTGGCTTGAGGCGCCTTCCTCTTGGCACATTTCTCTCTTTCACCATCCATTCGTGCCTCTTCAAATTCTGCAGCACTGCTGGTCACAGCTGATCTCCAGCTGGAGCACAGTACTCACATCAGTACAATCACCATAAACAGCTTGCATTCTCTGATGAATCTCCTTTGGGGTGACACCTTCAATGACTGCATGTTGCTTAAGTCGCATTGACCGACCGTCTGCGCAGGGTTCCATACTTCGTATTTTAACAATGCAACCATTCAATGCTAAGGCTTCCCACCAAAATGGAACTGTAGAGGAGAGTCTACTGAACAAGCCAGTACCTGCCACATACCAGTACTGCCATCTGTTGAGGAGTTATGAAGGTAGAGGCATTACTTTTCATTCAACCCCCATAACAAGAAGGCAGAGAAGAAAGGTCAAAAGGCAATGGACAGAGAAATGGCACACAAGGGTAAAAAAGGGAGCGAATATGAGCAGTCAGACTGTCTTCAGCCTCACATTGTTCAAGCCTCACTAGATAAAGCTGCTCAAACCAGCGTCTTGGTCCTTTTAAACGTCTATCCAATTATTTTGCAAGGGTTTTCAGTTATTTAATGAAGTGGCAATTATGTTAAGACAGTGCAGAATAGGTCTGGATGTCAGTGATTTAGCATGACTTGGATGTTCTGAAGGAATACATCTAATCAGGCTGCCAAGATGTTCATTTTCTCATTGATGGTTAATTACTGGCCCCCTTAAAGTTATATTTCAGACATCTAAAGTTTATTTTTTTTATTAATTTGTAGCTACCATTTAGTGTCTGCCTATATATTATATTGTCTCGCCTTAAAAGTCCCTGCGACGTTCATTCACAATTATGGGGATTGTTATATTGCATATTCCAGTCTAATTTCAGTTTGGATAATTAAGCCTCTGTTACACTTCCTTGAAAAATATTCAGTTGAAGATGGGATTTTTAGTCTTTCCACACAATCGTTTGTCATGGGATAACAACCCCTCAATTAACTCAAGCCATTGAAAAAGTGAAAGATTGGAGTGAAAGAAAAAGCAGCCATGAGCCCACGTGGGTGATCATTTTTATCACAGATTCTATGCTGATTTGCCATTTGATGCATCATAAAACTTAGGATATGTGGCCCAGCTCACTCCAGGATATTTGCTCACTGGACTTGTCTAATCATCTAGTGAAAAATAATGTTGATCTACTCATCTACCTTTGTTAGCTTGAAGGTTCATTCACAATCCAAAGGCCTTGCTTTGTCATTGTCAAGAAATAGAGGTGAACATGATAAAAAGTAGCCAAAGTTGGTAATGGCCCCGTGTTTCTCAACCTGGGGATTGGGACCCCTGGGGGGGTCATGAGGGGGTGTCAGAAGGGTTGCCAAAGACCCATCAGAAAACACAGTATTTTCTGTTGATCATGGGGGTTCAGAAGTTTGGCCCAATTCTACCATTGGTGGGGTTCAGAATGCTCTTTGATTCTTGGTGAACTATGAATCCAAGCAGTGCTCTCTGTATGTAGGTGAACTACAACTCCAAAACTCAAGGTAAATGCCCACCAAACCCTTCTAGTATTTTCTGTTGGTCATGGGAGGTCTGTGTGCCAAGTTTGGTTCAATTCCATCCCTGGTGGAGTTCGGAATGTTCTTTGATTGTATGTGAACAATAAATCCCAGCAGTGCTCTAGATGTGGGTGAACTACAACTCCAAAATTCAAGGTCAATGCCCACCAAACCCTTCCAGTATTTTCTGTTGGTCATGGGAGGTCTGTGTGCCAAGTTTGGTTCAATTCCATCTCTGGTGGAATTCAGAATGTTCTTTGATTGTAGGTGAACTATAAATTCCAGCAGTGCTCTCTAAATGTAGGTGAACTACAACTCCAAAACTCAAGGTCAATGCCCACCAAAACCTTCTAGTATTTTCTGTTGGTCATGGGAGGTCTGTGTGCCAAGTTTGGTTCAATTCCATCACTGGTGGAGTTCAGAATGTTCTTTGATTGTAAGTGAACTATAAATCCCAGCAGTGCTCTCTAGATGTAGGTGAACTGCAACTCCAAAACTCAAGGTCAATGCACACCAAACCCTTCCAGTATTTTCTCTTTGTCGTGGGAATTCTGTGTGCCAAATTTGGTTCAATTCCATCGTTGGTGGAGTTCATAATGCTCTTTGATGTAGGTGAACTATAAATCCAAGCAGTGCTCTCTGGATGTAGGTGAACTCCAACTCCAAAACTCAAGGTCAATGCCCACCAAACCCTTCCAGTATTTTCTCTTTGTCATGGGAATTCCATGGGCCAAGTTTGGTTCAATTCCATCGTTGGTGGTTCAGAATGTTCTTTGATTGTAGGTGAACTGTAATCCCAGCAACTACAACTCCCAAAGGACAAAATCAATCCCCTCCCCCAATCCTACAAGCATTCAAATTTGAGCATATTGAGTATTTGTGCCAAATTTGGTCCAGTGAATGAAAATACATCCTGCATATTAGATATTTACATTATGATTCACAACAGTAGCAAAAATACAATTATGAATTAGCAACAGAATACTGTTATGGTCGAGGATCACCACAACAAGAGAAAACTGTATTCAGGGATTGCGACAATAGAAAGGTTGAGAACCACCGGTTTAGGGTTTATGTAGGGAGCTCTTACAGATAGATGAGAGGCAAAGGCAGTGTTAGAGATCTAGTGACACTTGCAACAGAGGAGGCAAGCCCATCTTTAGAGTAGAAAGAGTTATAATTTGGTGAGGAACCAGCGCTATTTGGCAGAAAAGGCCAAGGATCTTATAAGCCTATTACTCTCATGATTCCATAGGATTAACCCATGACCAAGTGGTGCAAAACTGCATTAATTCTGCAGTGTAGCTGTACCATGAGATACTGTGACTTGGCCACCGTCATCCAATGGGTCTCCATGATAAGTAGGGAATTCAAATTCAGGTCTCCAGGGTCCTATCCAGCACTCAAACCCCATACTCTTATTGGCTGTCATTGAGATCTTTGGAGCAATTGATTCAATTTCAAGGTCATAGGTTGCCTGTTATAATACCATCTAGTTTGGGTAGTATTGGATGAGATGGACCCTAAGTCCATTGCAAAGGTTCATACATCCCATGATACATTTGAAAAGCTTGGGACAAGATTTTTCATTTAGATGCAGAGGAAAGGAATTTGACAAGTTTAAGTTTGTGGTTTGAATGGATCATTTCTGATACTACTTTTTCTGCTGCATTGTCCTTTTCTCCACTTTTTCGGGATAAGCTCCTTTGGAGGAAGTGATGGAGATGATGGTCAAATAGCAGATTGTGTGGATTACACTTTTATTTGCTTTGGTCATCTCCTGCCTTTCTAACATTTTCTGTCAAAGTATGACAAAATAGTCTTTTATATATTAGCTGGAACAGCAGAGTTTAAATGTTCTTCACTGAAAAGAAACTGAAACCCATTTGTCACCTTTCCACCAGGAACACCCGGATTATTGGCTCCTGGTGATTTTCATGCTGCTTCGACTTACAGAGCTGGATCACAAGAAAATCACAGTGCAAGAGAAGGCAAGTCTCTGTTTAGCAGGGCCATCCAGATGGAGAGTTTGCAGAGAACATATGAGAAGAAAAGAGCAGAGGATGCATTGGCCAGATCTGGCACTTTCCCTTCGCCTGCAAATAATGCTGCTTGTGGAAGGGACAAAGGGAGGAGGGAAATGTATTGTCGAAGGCTTTCATGGCCGGAATCACTGAGCTGTTGTAGGTTTTTTCGGGCTATATGGCCATGGTCTAGAGGCATTCTCTCCTGACGTTTTGCCTCACTACCTCTGAGGATGCTTGCCATAGATGCAGGCAAAACGTCAGGAGAGAATGCCTCTAGACCATGGCTATATAGCGCGAAAAAACCTACAACAACCTGGAGGAGGGAAAGCTGGTGTCCTGACCTTCTTGCAGCAGCTCCTAAAGCAGGCCTGGGCAGACTTTGGCCCTCCGGGTGTTATTGGAATTCAAATCCCATAATTCCCAACAGCCTACACACACATATATACGTACACACATGCAGATATACCCATACATGTACACATACACATAGAAATATATATACACACACGCACACATAGGCATGCATATATACACACACATATGTATATACACATACACATATACGCACATATATACACACATACATATATACACATGCACATGTATAGATACAACTGTATTACATATGTAAACATACACAATACACACATGTATGTATACACACATGTGCACATACATGTTTATGTACACATGTATGAGAGGAAGTCACAGGGACTTGTTTTCTGCTTCCTTGGAGACTATGACGCGGAACAATGGCTTGAAACTACAAGAAAGGAGATTCCATCTGAACATGAGGAAGAACTTCCTGATTACGAGAGCCGTTCAGCAGTGGAACTCTCTGCCCCGGAGTGTGGTGGAGGCTCCTTCTTTGGAGGTTTTTAAAAAGAGGCTAGATGGCCATCTGTCAGGGGTGCTTTGAATGCAATATTCCTGCTTCTTGGCAGAATGGGGTTGGACTGGATGGCCCAGGAGGTCTCTTCCAACTCTAGGATTCTATGATTCTACACATATACACATACATATGTACACATATAAACATATCTATACACAAACATTACACACATATAGGTATACATATAGACATATATACACATTCATATAGACATATAAGGATGCATATACACACATATATTTGTGCACATGAATATGTATACATACATTTGTATAGGTATATGTATATATACATACACATATATACCGGCTGTTAGGAATTATAGGAGTTGAAGTCCAAAACACCTGGAGGGCCAAAGTATGCCAAGGCCTACCCTAAAGCCACCTGATTGGGAATACTGTTCAGGATTGGATAGACCCTCTAATACAAGTTAGATTATAAGAGTCTGTGTCAAGATCATCCAGTAAGCTGTCGAGTCTCGTATTTATTGGGCTGCTGTGTGTTTTCCGGGCTGCATGGCCATGTTCCAGAAGCATTCTCTCCTGACATTTCACCCACATCTATGGCAGGCATCCTTAGAGGTGTGACATCTGTTTGAAACTAGGCAAGTGAGGTTTATATATCTGTGGAATGATGTCCAGGGTGGGAGAAAGAACTATTGTCTGTTGGAGTCAAGTGTAATGTTGCAAATAGCCATCTTGATAAGCATTTAATGGCCTTGCAGCTTCAAAACATGGCTGGCTGGAGAAAACCATGAAAATTAACAAAATCTGGCTACCAGTATTTTAAAAAACTCTAAAATCAGGACAGTAAAAAGCAGGTGAATTCCAGACAAGAAACAATCAGGGCCAGCTAGCACTTCCGAACAAAGGATTCCCCCCATTTAATGGCCCTACAGCCAGGCTTTGAAGCTGCAGGGCCATTAAATGCTAATCAAGGTGTTGCTTTGCAACATTCACATTTGCCTCAAGCAGACAAGTGTTCTTTCTGTGGACATACCACAGATATATAAACCTCACTTGCCTAGTTTCCAACATAACAACTTCTGAGGATGCCTGTCATAGATGTGAGCGAAAGGTCAGGAGAGATTGCTTCTGGAACGTGGCCATACAGCCCGGAAAACTCACAGCAACCCAGTGATTCCGGCCATGAAAGCCTTCAACAACACATTGAACATCTCGTATTTATTATTCATTAATGTATTTAAAATATTTCTGCATCACCTCCCAGGCCTCAAGCAGGCCCAAGGCAACGGACAAATAAAAAACAAATTAATACAAAAATAAAATAAAAATTTAAAAGCTCATTAAAATACTCTTTAGCAACTCCTAAAAGCCGGCTGAGAACAAAGTTCCTGATGGCAAGAGCTGTTTGACAGTGGAATATTCTGCCTTGGAGTGTGGTGGGGCCTCCCTTCTCTGGAGATATTTAAGCAGAGGATGGATGGCCATCTATTGAGAGGGCTCGGATTGTTTTATCCTGCATGGGTGAAAGGAGGTGGACTGAATGGCCCTTTGGGTCTCTTCTATGATTCCGCCTAGTAACCAGGAGGAAAATCTAACCTAAACATCTTTTGTCACTGCTATTTGAAGGCACTCCTAATGGCGCAATGGGTTAACATGAACATGAGGAAGAACTTTCTGACTGTGAGAGCCGTTCAGCAGTGGAACTCTCTGCCCCGGAGTGTGGTGGAGCTCCTCCTTTGGAAGCTTTTAAACAGAGGCTGGATGGCCATCTGTCAGGGGTGATTTGAATGCAATATTCCTGCTTCTTGGCAGAATGGGGTTGGACTGGATGGCCCATGAGGTCTCTTCCAACTCTTTGATTCTATGATTCTATGAAAGCATTGAGTTGCTGAATGTGTTGAATGAAAGGTCTCAGGTTCAAATCTGGGGAGTGGGTTGAGCTCCCACTGTTAGCCCCAGTTTCTGCCAACCTAGCAGTTCAAAAACATGCAAATGTGAGTAGATCAATAGGTATTGCTCCAGTGGGAAGGTAACAGCACTCCATGCAGTCATGCTGGCCACATGGCCTTGGAGGTGTCTACGGACAACTCTGGTTCTTTGGTTTAGAAATGGAGATGAGCACCAACCTCCAGAGTTGGACACAATTAATGTCAGAGGAAAACCTTTACTATTTGAATAGAAGTTTTGCTTATTTTCTGTTATGAGTTTTATTTTTATTGTTTTGTATTGCTTGTTGTTATTGTTTTTATTATTGATGTATCATGGGCTTGGCCTCATGTAAGTCGCACTGAGTCCCTTGGGGAGATGGTAAAGGTAAAGGTAGTCCCCTGACATTAAGTCCATTCATGTCTGACTCTGGGGTGTGGTGCTCATCTTCATTTCTAAGCTGAAGAGCCAGCGTTGTCCGTAGACACCTCCAAGGTCATGTGGCCGGCATGACTGCATGGAGCGCCGTTACCTTCCCGCCGGAGCGGTACCTATTGATCTATTCACATTTGCATGTTTTCAAACTGCTAGGTTGGCAGAAGTAGGGCTGACAGCGGAAGCTCACGCCGCTCCCCGGTAGCGGGGTATAAATAAAGTTATTATTATTATTATTATTATTATTATTATTAGTTCTGATCACTTTCCTGTTTAATTACGGGGAGCAGGTTGCAGCTGTGAATAAGTATGACCCTCCTCCTGAAGTGGTGGCGGCCCAGGACCACATGACCCACATCATGTACAGCATGATGCAACCCCAGCGGATCTTCAACAGGTAATCCTATTCCGGAGCCCCTGGTGACACAATGCAAACCCTCGTGCCGGCAAAACTGCTGACTGAATCTGGAGAGAGCGGGTTGAGCTCCCTCTGTCAGCTCCAGCTCCCCATGCGGGGACATGAAAGAAACCTCCCACAAGGATGGTAAAACATCAAACATCCGGGTGTCCCCTGGGCAACGTTTTTGCAGATGGCCAATACTCTCACACCAGAAGTGACTTGCGGTTTCTCAAATCTCTCCTGATGTGAAAAAAAAAAATCCTATTCCCAGTTCTCCTTCAGGCCTGGAGATGGCACTCAAGTAAAGCTGTTGCAAAGACTGCACATCGCTTCCCGGCCTCTCCTGCCCTTCCTCCTTTCACTCATTCATAGGTGCTGGAACCGGTTGTAGGCAATGCTACGGCTGTCAGCATGGAAATTAGGCAAATCTTGCTTGGCTGAGCAGATTATGAAATGAAGTTAGTCACTCACCTCGGCGCTCCAAGACAGATTGCCCACCGCTCCCTTCCTTTTAAACAATCTGTCAGAGCAGATGGCCATTCACACCATAAATGAGAGATTAAAAAAAACCCTCTCTCAGTTCCCAGTGATGGTTAAGATCTCTCCAGAGAGCAGTGAGTGCTTGCAACGGTGGCTTCCCGAGGCTTGTCTTGGGCTTCCTCCCTTCAGAAGGTTGGCATCCCACGGCAGGCAAAATAGCTACCCATCCTTTTGTTGATTTTTACTGCATGGTTTGCCAAGATCGGAGCAGGAGCGTTCACCAAGCCATTGACAAAAAGGGTTCCTCAGTAAGATCTGACCATCTGTACTCTTCAGCCTTCTTTTCTCATCCTTGAGACAGAGTCATTTTTAAAAAACCTAAATATAACCGTGCTAATGTTTTCTAGGCAGCTTTTTGCTTGAATGTGTGTACAGTTTGATGGTGTGTGGAACACTGACATAATACGTCTCAAAGCCAAATTTAGGAGGAAAGCCATGTTTGATTATTCACTTTACTTGTTGTCCCAATCATATGAATATTGGCTCAACTCAAAATAACTTTTGTCTGTGTGAAGTGGGAGGGGAGGCTAGTCGGTGTGGCTGACCAGGTAAGTGCATCATTTGTTTCAGGGGACACATTGTGACTTAAAACAGGGATGGGCATCATGTAGTACTCCAGGTATTGCTGGACTTCAGGTCCTAAGATATGTTGGCTGGGGCTGCCCTGCGGTACAATCCCCAATACACAACAGAGTTACTCTTTTTCCCATTTTTGCAAGATAGCAACCATGGCAGGGAGAGAGGTTGGACAGACATGCTCTTTTCTCTGCTGATGCTTATGACAACATAAAAGTCACAGGGTTGTTGTAGGTTTTTTCGGGCTATATGGCCATGGTCTAGAAGCATTCTCTCCTGACGTTTCGCCTGCATCTATGGCAAGCATCCTCAGAGGTAGTGAGGTCTGTTGGAACTAGGAAAAAGGGTTTATATATCTGTGGAATGACCTGGGTGGGACAAAGGACTCTTATCTGCTGGAGCTAGGTGTGAATGTTTCAACTGACCACCTTGATTAGCATATAATGGCCTGACAGTGCCTGGAGCAAACTTTTGTTGAGAGGTGATTAGATGTCCTTGTTTGTTTCCTCTCTGTTGTTGTGCTGTTACTGTTGCCTGTTTTGGGTCTAAAAGTTCTTCTGCTTCTTCTTCTTCTTTTCTTCTTCTTAGAACTTATTTATTTATGCAATGCTTTTGACATGAAATAGATAAATAAAACCTGAAAATGTTCCCCCATTAATACAAAACTGCATTAAAACTGGAGTGTAATTAAATAGATTATTGGCTTGGAGGTGGGAACGCTGGTTTTAAATCCTAAACAGGAATGCTCTATCATTTAACTGTCTCAATTATAGTAATTCCCTACTGTCCCAATTTTTAATATGTCCTAGTTTCTTCCTTCTCCTCCCACTCTCCTCCTTTGTCCTCAGTTTACTTCAGTGGATGCAAAGTGCAAACACAGCAGAAGAGGCAGAAGAGGAGATAGCAGCATCTTGCCCTTCCCAGTCATCTAAGGCAAAAGCAAATGACTGCATCCTATCAGTTCACACGTTGTTCTTCATTCATAACTTTTGCCATCTCTACCAAACTCTGATGTTGCTCGAGCACAGACACACAAGTTTTCAACCATTAAAATTAGTTGAAATAGAGTGACCAGCATCTATTTGACAGTCTTCTTGGGTTCCAGATTAAAATATCTTTACTGAAGACCAGGCACTTTTAGTTTGTGCAGTCCAGGAATAGAGGAACCTTTAGTCATTTGGACAATATGCACTACAGCTTCTACAAATCTTTATCCCTAGCAATGGAGAAATATCCCCCACTGGTATTATCTCTTGGTCTATTTTGAAAATGTTTATCTGGATTGTTTATTTGTTGTCTTTTACGGACGGATGTTAAATGTGTGTGGTATCAGATTTCTATGCCCATGTTCCAAGCCATCCTGAAATCTAATCTCATGAAAGGCAGCGTTGAAATATTTCAAGTAATTAAAATAGCATGTATTCTCTGCCATAAAGTCCTCCCTGGGAGCCAAATGGAACTAGAAGTGGGGAGGTATCTCTCATACAGGCAAGGGAATGATGGTAATGTGTTTCCTCCTCTCTGCACTTGCAGCACGTTGCCGAGCATCGATGCTCCCTACCCGATGCTGGTGCTGACTGGACCTCTGGAGTGCTGGAAGAGGGAGCTCAGCCATCGTCTGTGCCGGAAGTTCAACAACTGCTTCAGATACAGGTAAGTCCACTTCTTGAGTACTGAGAAGTCCTTGGGGATTGACTGGATCTCCTCAAGAAAATAATTTGTATGGGAAATCACTTTCCTGTCCAGCCTTTTGTTCTTCTCACCTTACATTGCCCTCCATATTGGAACAGGGCAAGGGTAGGCAAATTCATCACAGAAGATGACCTGGTTTAGATCCAGAAACCTTCTAGGGCAGTGGTTCTCAACCTGGGGTCCCCAGATGTTTTTGGCCTTCAACTCCCAGAAATCCTAACAGCTGGTAAACTGGCTGGGATTTCTGGGAGTTGTAGGCCAAAAACATCTGGAGACTCCAGGTTGAGAACCACTGTTCTAGGGGGATGCAAGGCTGTGTATGGAAGTGAGGTGACATGGCTTGTGGTTTGAATTTGGATACAAAACAGACTTTGGCGCTTTCTTCAGTAATCTTGGCAGGTATGGGGAAATGGAGCTTTGTTGTTGTTGTTGTGATTTACTTTCAAGTTAACTCCTTATAACAGTGGTTCCCAACCTTTTTTTGACCAGGGACCACTCTCCAACATTAGTACCAAAAGGGATACGAATCAGTTTTTGGTCAACTTTAGATTTGGTTTGGTTATTTGGGGGGGGGGGGGGGCTGATTCAGAAAATTGCATTGGATAGACCACATCAGCTCTAGTTTCTGATACAGAACATATACCTCCCAGTAGTTGCCACCTGCTCACCAACAGAAAACCATATTTAATAAGCCTCAGCACTACAAGAGGGTTTCACAAGACCAGTCGCTCTCATTGCAACAGTGTAGTAATGGTGAGGCCACGGACCATATTTTAGTTTTTGCAAACCATTGATGGTCCATGAACTACAGGTTGGGAACCACTATTCTAGGGTTTTTTTAGCCGGATTTGTTCAGAGGAGGCTTTCCATTGCCTTTCTATGGGGCTGATAGGAGATTCTTTGCCCCAGGTTACCCAATACATTTCAGTGGGTGAGCAGGAATTTGAACCCTGCTCCCCCAGAGTCCTCATCCAACACAGATAATGTGTAATGGTGCTTCGTGTCTATGAGGAAAGTAGTGACATTAACATCTTACCAAATCCCCAGGTTTTTGTGGTGATTTGGGGTCTTTTTTGCCAGTTTTCAAGGCATATATTTAATGGGGGGGTGAATGGGTGCTTTCATCACATGAGACAAAATTTCCACATTAATTGGATTAGAGGAATTTCTGATATTGTTGCACTTCAGACCAGGAAAGCCTTCTGAATTTAAACACCACACAGCTGAGTAAAAATGCAAGCAGTTATTGAAGATAATTAAAAAGCACTAGCAGTAAAAAAAACCACTCCATAAAATAGGTAAATCCCATTAGGTAAAAAGATAAGCAGAAACAAATAGTCCAGGAAATTAGTTCATCAGAGTTCATGAAAAACAAATACAGAAACTTCCAAAGTAAAACTCCAAAACTTGAATCATGAAATCAAACAAGGCACTTAACACATGAATTTGTCCAAGGCAAGGCTTCCAAGGACCAGGAAAGACATATTGACTCAATTCCAATGTTGCTTCGCCTGACTATAGATTCTGTACTTGGCACTTTTATTCCCTAATTTAGTCTATGTCCCAAGCAGCCAGGAACGGATTTCGTTTCAACCTTGGCTCTGTTATCAATCTCTCTCAGTCTGGCTGAACGCCTGAGAGATTGGCTTGTTTGCCTGTGCTGACTGAAAATATGACTTCTATCTACTGGCTCATTAATTTTTGCAGTTGGCCCAGGTGCCGAGCTTCTCTCAGGCTCCAAGTCCTGGGAATTCTCTGGTAGCTATTCAGGCCTTCTTCCAGGGACCATACCATCATCCCCAAACCCTTCAGGAACATTCTTATCAGAAGAGACACTTTGAACAGGAATCCCATTGTCATTCTCTGCATCCAGAGCAACCTCATCATTATACACATCATTAGATACATGAACCTCAGAAACATCATCGTCATTCCCAGCATCCAGAGTACCCTGATCATTAGACACAATAACAGGCTGAACTCCAACAGACACACACACACATGTACATATACATGTTGTTGTGCATGTGTCTCTCACAGATTTTGGAATAGCAAAGAAATCCTCCTGATCTTTTAATGGCATAATTCAGAAAACACACTTTTCTTCACGCTTCCGCCATCAAACTCTACATTGTTCATCTCTTGCCTTGATTTCCTTTCAGACAGACAGTTGTGCCTGCTTTATGTTAGGGTCTAAGCCAGTGTTTCTCAACCTTCCTAGTGCTGTGACCCCTTAATACAGTTCCTCATGTTGTGGTGACCCCCAACCATAACATTATTTTTGTTGCTACTTCAAAACTGTCATTCTGCTATTGTTATGAATCATAATGCACATATCTGATATGCAGGATGTATTTTCATTCACTGGATCAAATTTGGCATAAATACCCGATACACTCAAATTTGAATACTGGTGGAGTTGGGGTAGGTTGATTTTGCCATTTGGGAGTTGTAGTTTCTGGGATTTATAGTTCACCTACAATCAAAGGGCATTCTGAACTCCACCAATGATGGAATTGAACCAAACTCGGCACGCAGACTCCCATGACCAACAGAAAATACTGGAAGGGTTTGGTGGGAATTGACCTTGAGTTTGGGAGTTGTACTTCACCTCCATCCATAGAGCACTGTGGACTCCCAACAATGGTGGATGTGGACCAGGCTTGGCACAAATGCTCAATATGGCCAAATGTGAACACTGGTGGAATTTGCGGAAAATAGACCTTGACATTTTGGAGTTGTAGTTTCTGGGATTTATCGTTCACCTACAATCAAAGAGCATTCTGAATTCCACCAATGCTGGAATTGAAACCAAACTTGGCACACAGAACTTCCATGAACAACAGAAAATACTGGAAGGGTTTGGTGGGCATTGACCTTGAGTTTTGGAGTTGTAGTTCACCTCCATCCATAGAGCACTGTGGACTCCCAACAATGGTGGATCTGGACCAATCTTGGCACAAATGCTCAATATGGCCAAAATGTGAACACTGGTGGAATTTGGGGAAAATAGACCTTGAAATTTGGGAGTTGTAGTTTCTGGGATTTATCGTTCACCTCCAATCAAAGAGCATTCTGAATCCTATCAATGATGGAATTGAACCAAATTTCCCACAGAGAACCCTCATAACCAACAGAAAATACTACATTTTCTTATAGTATTTAATGACCCCTCTGACACCCACTCATGACCCCCCCCCAGGGGTCCCGACCTCTAGGTTGAGAAATGCAGGTCTAAGCATACATGAAGTTTTCTCAAGGCTTCTCAAGTGCCCTCTTGAAACACAACCGTAACCGAATGCGCCAAAAGTTGCCCTAAAATGCACTACAGCATCAGAAGTCCTGCTGGGTGACCTCTGTGTTAGATATGAGTTTCTGTAGCTTCGATCCTGCAACGTGGACCTTTTCTCATGATTTAGTTCTCTAGATAACCATCTTAATGCAGTTGGTCTGTGGGCTAGACAAATCCCTTGTAAGTCAAATGCTTAAAAGAAAACTTCTGACTGAAGGGGAGAATGTGGAATGAATATAATACACATTCAATAAATTATCCAGTTTGTAAAGCTTGGCTGAAACCTCCAAATAATTGAAAACTGGAGGGGATTTTATAAGTGTGCGAAGATTTTTCTCTCTCTCTCCAAGAGCTTTGTTGTTTCATTTCACATTTTATTCCCTCATAACTTTTATGCATATGAAGAACAGAATGACAGAATCTTAGCAGAGCAGAAAATTGCTACCATAAAGCAAAGTTGCCTTTTAATTATTCAGTGGAGATTTCGTCAGCTTTCGAGTTCCTTTCTTAGCGTTTTAAAGAGATCACTCGTTAAAGTTGTGTTTTATGGAAGGCGACTGGGCCGGCTTGAATGTAAACATGACCTTGCTGTTGAAAGGAGCTCGTAACACGCTTAAATGGTTCGGATAATACCAAGAGCAAGAGGCCATTCGAGACATCTGGCCAGGGCTCTTTCAAGATGTGTGTATTTATAACTGCTGAGAAAACCCAAGCCTTTGAAGTTGAGGTTTTATAGAGGCCACGTCTCTCATACGGTTCTCATTTGACACAGTGAGGGATAAAGGGATCCCTTTCCCCAGAACCTGGTTGGGGCAGGAATGGCTAAAGCCTGAGACCAAGTTATTGGGTATTAGAGCAGTTCCTGTAAAATGGCAATGTGGAAGCCAGAAGAAAGATGCGACATTGAGTCATAGAGTTGGAAGACACCACAAGAGACGATTGCAACCTCATTGTGCTTTGGAGGAACACATAACCAGAGCATCCTTGATAGATCCAGCCTGTTTCAAAGCCTCTGTTGTACCCCAGACCAGGAAAAGCCCTCTGACTTTAAACACCACACAGGTGTGTAGAAATGCAATCCATTTATTGAAGATAATTAAAAAGCAGTAATAGTAAAAAGCACTTTAAAGGAATAGGTAAATCCAATTAGGTAGGAAGATAAGCCGGAACAAATAGTCCAGGAAATTAGTCCATCAAAGTTCAGGAAAAACAAAGGCAGAAACTTATATATAGTAAAATCCAAAAACTGGAAACATGAATCCAAGTCACTTAGTACATGATCATAAAATCCAAGAATTAAAAACACGAATCAAAGGCACTTAGCACATGAATCTTTCCAAAGCAAGGCTTCCCAGGAACAGGAATGAAGTCTTGACTTGATTCCAAACAATGCTTCATCTGACTACAGATCCTGTACTTGGGACTTTTATCTCCTCATTATGCTATGTCCCAAGCGGCCAGAAATGGGTTTCGTTTTAGCCTTGAATCGCTTATCATTCTTTCTTTGAGCCTGGTAGAACGCCTAAGCGACTGGTCTGCTTTCCTGTTCTAATAACATCCTGTCTATCTTGCTCATTAATTTCTGCAGCTGGGCCAGGTGCTGAGCTATTCTCAAGTATGGGAATTCTCTGGTAGCAATTCAAGGAGCACACCATCATCCCCACACACTTCAGGGACATTCTCATGAGAAAATACACCTTGAACAGGGGTCTCCTGGTCATTCTCTGCATCAGTATCATTGGAAACACCATTACCCATATGAATCTCATTGTCATCATTCCCCACATCCAAAGCACTGATCCTTGAACACAATCACAGGCTGAACTCCAACAGTCTCCAAAGCAGGAGGCTCCACCAAGGTAGTGTACAGGCAGTCCCTGAGTTACAAACATTCGACTTATAAATGACTTATGGTTAAGAACGGAGGTGAAACAACAGGAAGTGAGAGAAATCTACCCCTTGGAAGGGAAATTTACTCCTCCTGGAGGAGTTATTCTCATAGAGAAAAGATGTCTCCACTGAAGCTTTATGATCAATCCTTGTTTCCACAACAAATCAAATTTTCCAAAATCCAGTGATCACACGGATAGAAAGTGAGGTGGAATCTTCTGAACAGAGGCACATACAGCAAAAAGAAACTCCACAGGGGTGTTCATCCTTTCCTATGTTATCCAAAGCTTATATATCTCTATCTATAAAGGTAAAGGTTTCCCCTTGACATTAAGTCCAGTCGTGTCCGACTCTGGGGCTTGGCGCTCATCTCCATTTCTAAGCTGAAGACCCAGCGTTGTCTGTAGACACCTTCAAGGTCATGTGGCCAGCATGACTTCATGGAGTGCTGTTACCTTCCTATCAATCTACTCACATTTGCATGTTTTCGAACTGCTAGGTTGGCAGAACCTGGAGCTAACAGCGGGACCTCAGGGTTTTAACTCATTGCACCACCGGTGACTCCATCTCTATCTAATCTCTATCTATATCCCTATCTATCTATCTATTTCTTGGCTGAAGTTACACTTAAAAATATACCTGTTGTGACTTACGTACAAACAAATTCAGCTTAAGAACAAACATACAGAACCTTTCTTGTTCATAACTTGGGGACTGCCGACATTCCATTGCCAAACAGCTCTTACCATTAGGAAGTTATTCCAAAAGTTAAACTGGAATCTCTTTTCCCTGAGTTTGCATCCAGTGCTCAATTGTGTCCTTGTCTCTGGAACAGCAGAAAACAAGCTGACTCCCTCTTCACTAGGACATCCTTTCAGATATTTAAGCATGGCCATCAGGTCTCCTCTTAACCTTCTTTTCTCTAAGCTAAATATACCCAGAGCATAATTTTCAGAAATGTTATGATGTCCTTCACCATCTTCTGGACACATTCCCGCTTGTCAATATCCGTCTCAAATTGTGGTACCCAGAACTGGACATGGCATCATTTACATGTGCAGTTGTCAAGCCAGTTGTCACTCATCCTAAGCACCTGTGGGGGAAAGGAAGGGGCCTGAGGCTGTTAGGAATTGTGGGAGTTGGAGTCCAAAACACTTGGAGGGCCGAAGTTTGCCTATTCCTGGTCTAAAGCTTTTGAAAGAGATGAAGGAAAACCTTTCTGTCCCAAAAGTCATAATTTTCTAATCCCAAACTGTGCCTATATGTGTATTGTTTCCAGCCTGAGCCTTACATCAAGTCCCATTGAAATCAATTGAATTCTGTCACAAAGAATGCATGGAATTGGTCATTGAATCTGTATAGCTTCTTTTTAAAATGCCGCCTTTTGTTTCTTCACTTCCGTTTTCCCAGCCCCTGCCATACTACAAGGAGTGCCTATTTTGGAGAGGAAAATAGATTGGATTATTATTTCGTATCCCAAGAGGAGTTTGACAAAATGGTGAAAACGGTAAGGAATGAGTCAGTTGCCTTTCGTCAGAGCTCCCTTTAGGATTTAAGGATAGGGAAATCCCTTTGGGGTTTGCATGGGTGATAAAATCACAAACATTGACAGATATTTCTTAATCTGCCTAGTTGCTTTTAATGGCTTCAACAAAATTTTAAGTACTTTGTTTCTCATCCTTTGCTATGCACAATTGTAAGCCTAAATAATCAATCTAAGCTTTAAAATTGTCGTTTTGAATTTTAATAGAGATATAAAGAGCATTCAATAACATTTGAAATATTGTCAAAAACAGGGTTCTCATGTGTTGCAAAACTGTAATGAAGAAAATCCTAGAGGAATTAAAATCTCCAAAGTTCAAGGTTTTGCACAAGGTCCTGTTTGGCACAAAAGCCAACATTGTATAGGTAGAGAATGGCATGTTTGTGCAGAAAATGCAACTTTGGGGTTGCAAACATTTATTTTGTACAGAAAGTTTTCTGAACTGAAAAATCACAGTTCTGTACCAAAGGTTAAAGGTAAAGGTAAAGGCTTTCCCTGACATTAAGTCTGGTTGTGTCCGACTCTGGGGGATGATGCTCATCTCCATTTCTAAGTCAAAGAGCTGGCATTGTCTGTAGATGCCTCCAAGGTCATGTGGCCAGCATGACTGCATGGAGTGCCATTACCTTCCTGCAGAAACAATACCTATTGAGTTGTTGTAGGTTTTTTCGGGCTATATGGCCATCGTCTAGAGGCATTCTCTCCTGACGTTTCATCTGCATCTATGGAAAGCATCCTCAGAGGTAGTGAGGTCTGTCGGAACTAGGAAAAAGGGTTTTTTTTTCCTGTGGAATGACCAGGATGAGACAAAGGACTCTTGTCTGCTAGAGCTAGGTGTGAATGTTTCAACTGACCACCTTGATTAGCATTTGATAGCCTGGAAGTGCCTGGAGCAATCTTTTGTTGAGAGGTGATTAGATGTCCCTGATTGTTTTCCCTCTGCTATTTTGCTGTTTTAATTTTAGAGGTTTTTTTTAATACTGGTAGCCAGATTTTGTTCATTTTCATGGTTTCCTCCTTTCTGTTGAAATTGTCCACATACTTCTTGTGGATTTCAATGGCTTCTCTGTGTAGTCTGACATGGTGGTTGTGAGAGTGGTCCAGCATTTCTGTGTTCTCCAATAACCTGCTTTGTCCAGGTTGGTTCATCAGGTGCTCTGCTATGGCTGACTTCTCTGGTTGGAGGAGTCTGCAGTGCCTATCATGTTCCTTGATTCATGTTTGGGCAATGCTGCTGCATTTGGTGGTCTCTATGGAGACTTCTTGTCTACAGCTGCATGGTATATGGTGGACTCCTGCAGAAGTGAGAGGATCCCTCTTGTCCTTTGCTGAACGTAGCATTTGTTTGATTTTCTTGGTGGGTCTGTAGATAGTTTGTATGTTGTGTTTCCTCATCAGCTTCCCTATGCGGTCAGTGGTTCCCTTGAGCATCCATTGGCCTGTAGAGCCCAGTTGAGGCGGTTCAGTTCATCTTGGATGAGGTGGGGTTTGCAGATGCTTCAAAACTGCAAGTTTTGGTGATTCATAGCAAGAAGAAGAAAGATACAATTATCTATTCTGGCTTGAGGGAATTAAATATACAAAGATTTATTTTCGTCGAATAATAGAAAACCACTGTGGTCAACAATGCAGCTCCAACTAAGTGCAAGTGGATCTCCCCCATCCCCTTATCACTCTTTTCTTTCATTCCAGGGGCAGTTTATTGCTACTTTTAAATATAGCGGTTTCTACTACGGACTGGGTCGAGACACCATTGAATCCATTGCTCGGGAAGGACTCGCTACTTGCGTTCATATGGAAATAGAGGTGAGGGTGTTCCCTGAGTATAGGAATGTCTGCTGACACTAGTGACATTTCTGTCCCTTATCTCAGTTCCAAACAAGTCTGTGTAATTGGGTTTATGTCATGATCTGATGGGAACTAGGCCTGTGGCAAAGAGGAATGGTGGATTGGAAGACCAAAAACAGGACAGAGATATGGAGAAAGAAGCATGACAACAATAAACATTGAGTCCTGAGAATATGAAACTTTGTATGGCATGGCCTCTTGGAGGTTTATGCCAGAGCCTGGAAAAGTTATGTTCGTGACAACAATTCCCAGAATCCCCTACAATCAAATTATCTAGTTAGATGTAGTTGAAGTGTAATCATAGTACCACACTTGTGCAGTGTGAAAAGGTCTTGTGTTAGGGTCTCTTCCTTAGAATCATAGAATCAAAGAGTTGGAAGAGACCTCATGGGCCATCCAGTCCAACCCCCTGCCAAGAAGCAGGAATGTTGCATTCAAATCACCCCTGACAGATGGCCATCCAGCCTCTGTTTAAAAGCTTCCAAAGAAGGAGCCTCCACCACACTCCGGGGCAGAGAGTTCCACTGCTGAACGGCTCTCACAGTCAGGAAGTTCTTCCTCGTGTTCAGATGGAATCTCCTCTCTTGTAGTTTGAAGCCATTGTTCCATTGCATCCTAGTCTCCAGGGAAGCAGAAAACAAGCTTGTTCCCTCCTCCCTGTGGCTTCCTCTCACATATTTATACATGGCTATCATATCTCCTCTCAGCCTTCTCTTCTTCAGGCTAAACATGCCCAGCTCCTTAAGCTGTGCTGATTATTGTTATTATGTTTGTTTATACACTGCTTTCTCTCCCCACAAAGACACTCAAAGCACCCTACATTAAAAGCATTTCAATACCATTTAGAATCTACAAATATACAAACATTAAAACAGCATTAAATGTCATTGGTACGTATTGCCGACTCTTTCCCACACCTACTGTTTTCCAAGCTTGTAGTCACTGCACTAAAAAAATATTTTGCCTGGCTTGGCTCCAGTACTGGGAGTAAGTCCAGTTAAGATTAGGGTTTTTTTTTCCCTATGTCTTGGCCCTTTTTGGGGAAGGAACGAGATTGGCTGAGTTAAGAGGCAGTCTTCCCTAGCAGAGCTTTGCAGAGAAATGTGCCAAATCTCTTACGTATCCCTCTGAGACTATTTTCACTACAATGCAAGTGAGAAGGCAACATTTAAATTATATGCTTGACGAGTTTATTGTCTGCATCCACATATATATTCTCAATAGACATATAAGTTTGCTAACTAAATAGGAAAACATTTCAGGTAGATGAGATCCGAGGATCCATGGCTTATCCATCTTTAAAGAAGGAGGAGGGAGAGAGGGAAGACCACAGACACGGGTTTTTATTTCCAAATCACATGGTCTGCATGCTTAGATAAGTCTATCATTGATAATAATTTATTATAATCTATCTCCAAACAAAATGAAATCTTGAAAAGTAGAAATATAATAGAAACATTCAGCAATAGTGGGTGGTGGCTCCCATTTCAGTGGAGCAGCAAATCCATGTGTGGTTTTGTTCAGCACCTTGGAAAGCTCCTTTAAGGCTATCAAAAACCTGGAACACTATACTAACAACATAGGAAATACTAGCCACTACATGCATACAGGAAGCCCAGTACTGCTTAAATCTGCAATTCCTCTAATAGCTAAACAAATAACTATCTAAATAGGATAACATTTCAAGTAAGGGAGTTTTGATCTGATCTCACTGGGAATCTGGTGTCCAGTTTTAGACACTACAATTCAAGAAGGATATTTTATATATATTTATCGTGTCATCAGCAACCATACCATTGTATTACACTTCTAACAGAACAAAACAAACACACAGATTAAAAAGAAAAGAAAAACACACAGATTTTGCAAATTTGGTAGTTGGTTAAATGTCCTTTGACCAGTATCTGGCCACTTGGAGTGCCTCTGGTGTTGCCGCAAGAAGGTCCTCCATTGTGCATGTGGCAGGGCTCAGGGCATTGCAGCAGGTGGTCAGTGGTTTGTTCTTCTCCGCACTCGCATGACGAGGATTCCACCCTGTAGCCCCATTTCTTAAGATTGGCTCTGCATCTCGTGGTGCCAGAGCGCAGTCTGTTCAGCGCCTTCCAAGTCGCCCAGTCTTCTGTGTGCCCAGGGGGGAGTCTCTCATCTGGTATCACCCATGGATTGAGGTGCTGGGTTTGAGCCTGCCACTTTTGGACTCTCGCTTGCTGAGGTGTTCCAGCGAGTGTCTCTGTAGATCTTAGGAAAACTATTTCTTGCGACCAGGTAAACCACCGCCTCCTCCTGAGAAAAATGTATAATATCACAAAGGACGACCACCTCACCTGCCTCATAGGAAACCTGCTACAAAACAGGAGCTTTTTTGTTGAGTTCCAGGGCCAGAGAAGCTGATGGCGGAAACAGAAGAACGGCCTGCCTCAGGGGAGCGTGCTTGCTCCATCCATGTTCAACATCTACACAAATGACCAGCCACTGCCAGAAGGGACAGAGAGTTCATCTATGCTGATGATCGTGCCATCTCACTCAAGCAGGGAGCTTTGAGATGGTTAAAAAGAAGCTCTCCGAAGCTCTAAGTGCTCTTACTGTCTATTACAGGGAAAACCAACTGATCCCTAATCCATCTAAAACACAGACATGCACCTTTCACCTTAAGAACAGACAAGCATCCCAAGCTCTGTGGATTACCTGGGAAGGAATCCCACTGGAGCATTGCAGCACACCCAAATACCTGGGAGTCACTTTGGACCGTGCTCTGACCTACAAGAAGTACTGCCTGAACATCAAGCAAAAAGTGGGCGCTAGAAACAAGAAGGATATTGACAAGCTGGAAATCATCTGGAGATGGACAACCAACATGATTAAAGGTCAAGAAGCCCTGAATCTCTTTGAGGATTGACTTAGGGAGCTGTCTATGTTTAGCCCAGAGAAGAGAAGGTTGAGTGGGGACATGATACCCAGGTTTAAATATCTGAAAGGATATTTATTTATTTATTTATTTACACCATTTCTACCCTGCCCTTCTCACCCCCAAGTGGGGACTCAGGGCAGCTAGCACAGGCAACAATTCAATGCCAACAGTATCAATAACAACAATATAAAATCCTATTACATAACCGTTAAAACAGTGATATTAATTAAAATTAAATAATCAGATAGAACAAATCACAAATCACAAGTCATATAGCCGTTTCCAATTGTCATAACAATCCAATGGTCCGAGTTCAAGTGCTGCTGTGCTCACTAGCCAAAGGCCTGGCTCCAAAACCACATCTTTAGTTTTTTCCTAAAAGTAAGGAGGAAGGACGCTGATCTAATCTCGCTGGGGAATGAATTCCACAAGCGTGGGGTCACCACCGAGAAGGCCCTGTCCTTCGTCCCCACCAGATGCATTTGAGACGTTGGTGGGACCGAGAGCAGGGCCTCCCCAGTAGATCTTAAATTACGAGGGAGAGAGAGAGTTACGTTCGGATAAGTAAGCTGGGCCGGAGCCGTATAGAGTTGAGATATATAGAGAGAGAGGTGGGAGGGAGCAAACATTGAAAGAAAAGAGGTGTCTGCAAGATTGGCCTAGTATTTTGCAATGCAAAGAATGTCGAGGAAAGGATAATTGAGTGGAATGGCTCCATGGATGGTTCGTAAGGAGAGATACAATTGGACAGGTAAGTTGGGCCAGAACCATTTAGGGCTTTATAGGCTAAAGCCAGCACTTTGAATTGTGCTCGGTAGCAAACTGGCAGCCAGTGGAGCTGGCGCAACAGCGGAGTTATATGCTCCCTGAGTGCTGCTCCTGTTAGAAACTTGGCTGCTGCCCACTGGGCCATTTGAAGCTTCTGAACAGTCTTCAAAGGCAGCCCCATGTAAAGTGTGTTGCAGTAGTCTATATGGGATGTAACCAGAGCGTGGACTACCATGGCGAAGTCAGACTTCCCAATTCTCTGCCAAAGAGTGCTGGTGCTTCACCAAACTCAGGATAGCATAGCATTCAGCCATATGACGCCCCTCAAAGAAGAGCTCCAGGTGCAGCTTCTGAAGCAGCTTCCCTTTTTGCTTTGTCTCAGCATTAGCATTATTTTGGCAAGTGAGCATTAGATTGAATAAACACGGTAATTTGAGTTTAATCCATTTGCCCCCAATCTTTAATTCTTCATCATTGTTTGGAAGTCAAAATTCATACAGAAATGATTCAGAATAAAAGTCTTCTAAATCTGGTTAGCAACAGTTTGGAAGACCCAAACTTGACATCACTGGTTAATGAACATTTAGCACCTTTTTTTGCATCGATGTAAATTTTCATTCATGATTAAACAAGTCTGGAATCACGAAATGTGTGAACAAAAGCCAACTTAGCGCCTTCTCTCTCAAAGGGTGTGAGAAGCTTGAAGAATTCCTACTTTGAGCCACGCTACATCCTGTTGATCCCAATGGACAAAGAGAAATATACCAGCCACCTGAGAAGGAAGGGGCTGTTCAGCCGGCCAGAGATCGAGGAAGCGGTCAATAGGGTGGACATGTACATCAAATTGAACCAGGACTGTCCAGGCTTCTTTGATGCAGTCTTCAGCATAGGTTAGTCAGGCCTTTCAGAAACTTGGTCTCCTGTTCCTGATGCTGACCACACAATCTTCCCTCAAAACAAACAGCTGAAATGGCTAAACAGTTGGTTGTTCTAACTAATTGGGTTGAAGGTGAGGTGTTGGAACATGCACCAACACCCAAATGATGTGGAGAACATGTCCACAAGGGCCATAGGGAAGAACATGAGATGTTCAATCACAACTCAGACTTTATAATCCATCAAATTCTATCACTTGTTTTCTCAAAATGTCCAGACTCACACACACAAAGAGGAAGTCAAATTTTCAGGGAGGGTCTTCTCTGTGTGGCTGACACTTTGTGATGATACAAATGACCATGTGAAGAACCACAATCAAGCAACCCACTCCTCTGGCATTAGAACCTGGTTAGGATTTTGCCAGTACTCTGATATGGACAATGGAATGATTCTTCCATTTTCCTTATCAGAGCATTGGCACATTCTTTTTCAAACCACAACTTCTAGAATCCTTTCATTAGTAAAGTCATTGTGACTTTGAGAGGTATAGGCCAAATGGTCACTTTTCCAAGCTGTGGTCTACCCAAAAGATATTTAAAGAGGGAAGCCAGCAGCCGTTTATGTATCTCAATGCCTCTTTGTGCAGCGGGTTGTTGTAGTCAGTGCTTTCAAACTATTATTTTATTGTTATTTACAGCATTTATATTCCACCCTTCTCACCCCGCAGGGGACTCAGGGCGGATTACAATGTACACATATATGGCAAACATTCAATGCCAATTTTGACATACAACATATACAGACATAGACAGAGGCTATTAAACTTTTTCTGGCTGCCAGGGGAACTGTCGCTTTCATCGTCCATCTGCGACACTGATGAAGTACTTCCGCATTCCCTGCATTCTTCCCCGCTGGAATGCTTTGCTGGAGGCTTTTTTATGGCCTCATAAATTAGTTAATTTAGCCTCCCCACACTTTAAGGTGGTACCTTATTTTCCTACTTGACAGATGCAACTGTCTTTCGGGTTGCAAAGGTCGACAACAGGCTACACAATGGGTTGGAAACCCACTCCAACCCGGGCTGGCTTTCAACTCATGACCTTTTGGTCAGAGTGATCTTAATGCAGCTGATACTCAGCCAGCTGCGCCACATTGGATAGACCTGATTCAAGCCCTACTTTAGCCTTCAAGGTCAATAAAAGACTTAGAGCCAGCCTCAACCTAATTTGGCTTGTTAGAAGAATACATTTAAGGGGATCCATGTATCCCACCTGCAGTCATGCCAGCCACATGACCTTGGGGACGTCTACGGACAACACTGGCTCTTCAGCTTAGAAATGGAGATGAGCACCACCCCACAAAGTCAGACGTGACTAGACTCAATGTCAGGGGAAACTTTTGCCTTTACTATGCATCCCACCTTGGGTTCTTTGGGAGGCAAAAGGGCATCATATAAATGTGACAGATAAATCAGGGGTTGGAATCGTGAAGGTCTCAGAGGCTGTTGAACTGCAACTCCCAGCAATGTCTCGATGCTGAGGACTTCTGGGAATTGTAATCCAGTTGCTTATGAATGGCTGCATTATTCCTACCACTGAGATGAATAGTAAGAGCAGGGCAATTTTTTTTCTTGGCAGGATTTGTTCAGATGGGATTTGCCTTTGCCCTCCTCTTACACTTAAAGTGGTGGTTCCCAACCTGTGGGTCCCCAGGTTTTTTGGTCTACGACTCCCAGAAATCCCAGCCAGTTTACCAGCTGTTAGGATTTCTGGTAGTTGAAGACCAAAACATCTGGGGACCCACAGGTTGTGAATCACTGACTTAAAGAATCTATTTACTCACGTCACCCAGAGGGTTTCCCTGGCCGAGTGCCCATATGAACCCACTAGCCCAGTCCTACACTCAAACATATAAAAAGTCATCAACAAACCATTTCAAAACTATAATCTGAATTAGCTCTTCCAGAAGAGACTGGTCTTTATTGCTGATCTTCACTACTGCTCTTTATAATGTCCAGATCTTTTCATCCCCTCCAAACACCCATCCCTCAATGCACAGATGATTATGAGGAAGCCTTCACCAAGCTGTGTAACCTTCTTGAAGAGTTCCTGGGACTGTCACAACCTTCTGAATCTGGGCTCATGGCTCCTGGATCAGACAGCTCTTGCCTTTCAGGTACTAAGTATGATCTGGCAGAGCTGCTACCTATGAGCAAGCGCGATCAGCAGCCCCATTGGCTTGCAGGAAATGAGAAACATGTCATCAGCAATTGCCTCCTCTTCCAAGGCTTTGCACTCTCATTTCCTCCATATTCTAAACTTGACTGCGATTTGGCTTTAAACCAGGGAATTTTTACCCCATGGGACTAATCTATGCCAAAATCCTGCTGGTTTGTGGAAGCTCCCCTATGGAGGAGCTTAGGGAGGAAGAAGCCATTGGAGAGGAAAGAGAGATGTGAGCTTGTAGAAGCCAAGGGGAAGATATAGTGGAAGCTCAGGGGGCATGGCAGTAGATCAGTGGTTCCCAACCTTTTTTTTTTTTTTACCAGGAACCACTGTGACCAGGGAAAGCAACTGAACTAAGCAGAGAAGAAAGGAGGAAAGTTGGGGAAGAGATACGAACTGGGACATTTTACAAGCAGCTGAAAAAGTGGGACAATAGGGGGGTTGATCTGGATTGTCCCTGATAAAATGGAATAGTCAGGGAAATATGTGCTGGGGAAAGCATTTAATTTAGTTGTACAATAGCACAATGGGTTGTTGTAGGTTTTTTGGGCTGTATGACCATGTTCTAGAAGCATTCTCTCCTGATGTTTTGCCTGCATCTGTGGCAAGCATCCTCTGAGGATGCTTGCCACAGATGCAGGTGAAACGTCAGGAGATAATGCTTCTAGAACATGGCGGTACAGCCCAAAAAAACCTACAACAACCCAGTGATTCCGGCCTTGAAAGCCTTCAACAATACAATAGCACAATGGCAATAAAGCTATTCTATCTATCTATCTATCTATCTATCTATCTATCTATCTATCTATCTCAGTGGTTCTCAACCTGTGGGTCCCCAGATATTTTGGCCTACAACTCCCAGAAATCCCAGTCAGTTTACCAGCTGTTAGGATTTCTAGGAGTTAAAGGCCAAAACATCTGGGGACCCACAGGTTGAGAACCACTGATCGATCTATCTATCATCTGTCTGTCTGTCTATCTGTCTGTCTGTCTGTCTGTCTGTCTGTCTGTCTGTCTGTCTATCAATCATCTATCTATCTATCGCAAATTCTAGAGAAGCATTGTGGCCAATATCTATGAATGGGCCTGTCCATTCTTCCGTGAATCTAATGCAGTGGTTCCTGGCCTTTTTTTTTCTACCAGCGACCACTTGACCAGGGACCACTCTCCAACATTAGTAAAGAAAGGATTACAAATCAGTTTTTGGTCAACTTTAGATTCAGTTTGGTTATTTGGGGTGCTGATTCAGAAAACTGCATTGGATAGACCACATCAGCTCTAGTTTCTGATACAGAACATATGCCATCTAGTAGTCAACATCTGCTCACCCACAGAAAACCATATTTAATAAGTCTCAGCACTATAAGAGGGTTTCAAGAGACCAGTCGGTCTTGTTCCAACAGTGTAGTAATGGTGAGGCCACGGACCATATTTTAGTTCTTGTGGACCACTGGTGGTCCATGGATAACAAGTTGGGAACCACTGATTCAATGGCTTGAGATGCACCTTATGAATGGGCCTGTCCATTCTTCCATGAATTTAATGCAGTGGTTCCTAACCTTTTTTTGACCCGGGACCACTTGACCGGGGACCACTCTCCAACATTAGTACCAAAAGGGTTAAGAATTGGTTTTTGGTCACGTTTTTAGGGCATGTGAGCCAAAAGTTTAGATTTGGTTTGTTCATTTGGGTTGCTGATTCAGAAAATTGCATTGGATAAACCACATCAGCTCTAGTTTCTGATACAGAACATATGCCATCCAGTAGTCACCATCCGCTCGCCCACAGAAAACCGTATTTCATGAACCTCGGCACCATACAAGGGTTTCACAAGACCAGTCGCTCTTGTTGCAACGGTGAGGCCACGGACCATATTTTAGTTCTTGCGGACCACTGGTGGTCCATGGATCACAGGTTGGGAACCACCACAGTAGATGAAGGATCAAGCAAGTAAGAATGGGTGTATTATATTTTTTCATGCGTGTGTAAAGTTTTCAGGCATTGTTCCATGCTCTCCATAATGGTATAACTGATTTCGCTGTGGCCAAGAAGAGTCATGGAGATGGAGTGAACTCCAAGGGCTCTCTAGTCAACAGCCTACCACACAGGAATCTACAACTAAAGTACTCCTGAGAGATGACCATCCAACTTCTATTTAAAAGCCTCCCAAGTAGGAGAGCCCCCCATCCTCTGAGGCAATCTATTCCAGTTCCAATCAGGAAGTGCTTCTTAAAGTTTAGGTGGAATTTCTTTGCTGGGCATTTCTTTCTTTTTTCTTTTGAACATTTTTACCCTGCCCTTCTCAACCCCTGGGGGGACTCAGGGCAGCTTCCAATTGGCAACAATTCAATGCCGCTTCATAAAATACAAATATCAAGTAGAACAATTAAAAACATGAACATTAAAATAAAAGTTAAACAGTATACTTACGATCGATTTAGCTATTGCCCATCTGGTAGTTATTTATCTAATGATTACTCCGCTTCACTTACCCAATTCCACTGCCAAGCCATAGTCAAATATTATCCTCTTAGATTCATAGAATCAAAGAGTTGGAAGAGACCTCATGGGCCATCCAGTCCAACCCCATTCTGCCAAGAAGCAGGAATATTGCATTCAAATCACCCCTGACAGATGGCCATCCAGCCTCTGTTTAAAAGCTTCCAAAGAAGGAGCCTCCACCACACTCCAGGGCAGAAGTTCCACTGCTGAACGTCTCTCACAGGAAGTTCTTCCTAATGTTCAGATGGAATCTCCTTTCTTGTAGTTTGAAGCCATCATTCCGCCATTCGCCTCCTAAAGAGCCTGATCTAGGGGATGCTGGGAGCTGTAGTCCAGAAGAGAGTGTGGGTATGTTATTGTGTGGGGGTTTTTTTGTTGGGGGAGTCATTTTTGCGCAAGTGCTGTAACATCTTTTTGGGGTTTTTTTTGGGTTTTTATGTCCCCTTCTGCTGTGTTTTTCAGTGTTTTTATGAGTGATGGTCACTCGTTGGCCTGAGAGGTGTATTGTGTCCAAATTTGGTGTCAATTCGTCCAGTGGTTTTTGAGTTATGTTAATACTACAAACTAACATTACATTTTTATTTATATAGATGTCAAAAGCAACTGGCAAATAATGATGAGACCAAAATGTACACAACATAGACAGGTTGGGTTGTTGTAGGTTTTTCGGGCTATATGGCCATGTTCTAGAGGCACTCTCTCCTGACGTTTCACCTGCATCTATGGCAAGCATCCTCAGAGGTAGTGAGGTTGGGACCCCTTTTAGATTGTACAGTAATTTATGTAGGTTTCCCCCCTATCATAAGCCTTGCTATTTCTTATGAACCTTCCATAAAATCTTGATAAAACAGGAAAGAGGATGTGGGATTAGATACCTGCTCCCCATTGTCCTTTAACCTGATTACCCGAAGGCCTGGTCCCAGAACCATGATTTTACCTTCTTTCTGAAGGTGAGGAGGGGTGACGATGATCTAATTTCCCCGGGAAGCGAATTCCACAGGCGGGGGGCTACCACTGAGAAGGCCCTGTCCCTCGCCCCCACCAAATGTGTTTGAGACAAAGGTGGGGCTGAGAGCAGGGCCTCCCCAGAGGATCTTAAGCTCCGAGATGGGGCGTAGAAGGAGATACTTCGGACAGGTACGCTGGACCGGAGCCGTATAGGGTTTTATAGGTCAAAACCAGTACTCGGAATTGAATTGGCAGCCAGTGGAGCTGACACAACGGGGGTGGTATGCTCCCTGTATGACGCTCTAGTGAGTAGTCTAGCTGCCTCCCGTTGGACTAATTGCAGTTTCCGAACAGTCTTCAAAAGCAACCTCACGTAGAGCACATTGCAGTAATCTATTCGGATTGTGACAAGAGCATGGACCACCGTGGCCAGATCTGACTTCCCACAGTATGGGCGCAGCTGGTGCACAAGTTTTAACTGTGCAAAAGCTCTCCTGGCCACCGCTGAGACCTGGGGTTCCAGGCTCAGTGATGAGTCCAGTTCCGAGCACAATTCAAAGTGCTGGTTTTGACCTAGAAAACCCTATACGGCTCCGGCCCAGCGTACCTGTCCGAACGTATCTCCTTCTACATCCCACCTCGGAGTTTAAGATCTTCTGGGGAGGCCCTGCTCTCGGCCTCACCTCTATCACAAGTGAGGTTGGTGGGGAGGGGGAGCAGGGCCTTCTCGGTGGTGGCACCTTGCCTGTGGAATTCGCTTCCTGGGGAAATTAGGTCATCAACATCCCTCCTCTCTTTTAGAAGGAAACTAAAAACCTGGATATGGGACCAGGCCTTTGGGTAATCTGGCAGACAGACAAAGGACAATGACGACTAGATCTGGATAGGATTATGACAATGCGGTATGAATTTACGGATTTTGAGCTTGGCGAATGTTGGTTTTTATTAGTTGTACTGTAAAGCTGGATTGTTTTAATTGTTTTATCATTGTTGCTGCTATGTATTTATCTTACTATTGTGTATTGCTGGCATTGAATTGTGCCTTTTGTAAGCCACCCTGAATCCCCCTTCGGGGGTTGAGAAGGGCGGGGTAGAAATACTCAAAATAAATAAATAAATAGCTGTGAACCTGGGTCTTCAGGGGGAGTGTAACCCCATCCAACACAGGCTGTAACCCTAAGCCCTGTTCGGCCTTACGACTGACCAGTAGGACCTCTGTCTTGTCTGGATTCAGTTTCAATTTGTTAGCTCTCATCCAGTCCGACACAGCAGCTAGACACCGGTTCAAGGTCTGGACAGCCTCCTTGGTGACAGGTGAGAAGGAGTGACGGATTTGGATGTCATCCACATAGAGATAACACCTCGTTCCGAAACTCCGGATTTGCAGTTGGAGGACTCCATCTTTGGACGATAAAGGAGATTTAGCCGACGTTCTTTTTTCAGGAGGCCTTAGGGCATGTGAGCCAAAAGTTCACAAAATCCAAACTTTCTTTTTAATGTCCTAATTGTGGGGGGCAAAGGAACAGGAGGAAAGCGCCTTTTCCTCATCATCATGAGTTTGGCCATAAACCATCTGATCTTCCTTCAAGGGGCTGTTAATGGCCTGTAATGTCTTGCTGTCCCATCAATTTGCATTTCCTCGCCAGTCGCAGCAACTTCATTAAGACTGCTGAGTCGAGGCAATTTTGCTCTCCATAAAAGTAACTTTCAAATTTATTATGCTTCATTAAATTCATTTAGAGCTTCATTTGTAGGTGTTACGAATAAATGTAATGATCTTGTTTCGGGAGAGAGAGAGAGAGATCCTCTTTCCTTTATGGATGATGCAGAATTATTATTATTTTATTTTTATTTTTTCAACGAAACTTGCCTCGGGGTTGGTGCTTGATTCGAACATTTGCAATGAGGTTGTAATAAGGGAGGCTGGTTGTTGGATATTATGGGAGGCTATTAAAACCTTTCTCTCCGTCTCCTTTTTTTAATGAACCTCCAAGAGTTTTTCTTAATGGACAGAGCGAGGACATTGGGAGGGATGGAAGCAGAGATCAAGGCAGCGATTAAAATGGCATAATTGCTGCCCGTGGTCACCACTATCCAAGTCATTTTCATTCTGGTGATGGGGAGGAATCAAAACGATGTTTAGAAATACCATTCATTTGTGCAGTAGCCCTGCTGAAAGTAATTTGCATAGTTTCTTTTCATTTTAATAGAAGTTTTGTAGATTTTCATCGTGATTGTATGCCTTCTACTCTGCCAAAGTCCTGGAAACCTAAAGCTTGAACAGTTGCATTTTACTAAAATTAAAATATTCCAGGTAGCCTTGTTGTGATGGGGTTTGCAATCCTATACTCAAGTCTGCCCAGGTATCAGCCCAGGTATCAGCCCAATGGAAACACTTGGGTTTTCTTTTGAGTAGATAAAGGATAGTATTTCATTGTAAAGTGTGAGTGCCTAAGAGTGTTGTGCTAACCTACTTCCTATACATCTGTGTCAGTGGTTCCCACCCTGTGGACTGGATATTGAGATGTCCTCCACTTGTCTGCACATAATGCAGGATCTCCAGCTAGAGCAGTGGTTCCCCACCTGTGGTCCGTGGACCACCAGTGGTCCACAAAAACGAAAATATGGTCCACGGCCTCACCATTACTACACCATTGCCTCGAGACCACACAGCAACGAGAGTGTCTGGTCTCATAATAGTGTCGAGGCAATGGGGATGTCGAGAGGGGAGAGGCTGGCTACCCACAAAAGATTACTACTACCACATCAGCTCTAGATTATTTAATATGGTTTTCTGTGGGCAAGCAGATGGCAGCTACTGGAAGGCATACGTTCTGTATCAGAAACTAGAGCTGATATGGTCTACCCAATGCAATTTTCAGAATCAGCATTCTAAAGCAATCTAAAGTTGATCAAAAACTGATTCATAACCCTTTTGGTACTAATGTTGGAGAGTGGTTCCTAGTCAAAGTGATCCCTGGTCAAGTAGTCCCTGGCCAAAGTGGTCCCTGGTGAAGTGGTCGCTGGTCAGGTGGTCCCTGGTCAAAGTGGTCGCTGGTCAAGTGGTCCCTGGTCAAGTGGTCCCTGGTCAAAGTGGTCCCTGGTCAAGTGGTCCCTGGTCAAGTGGTCCTTAGTCAAAGTGGTCTCTTGTCAAGTGGTCACTGATCAAGTGGTCACTGGTCAAAGTTGTCCCTGATCAAGTGGTCCCTGGTCAAAGTGGTCCTTGGTCAAAGTGGTCCCTGGTCAAAGTGGTCCCTGGTCAAGTGGTCCCTTGTTAAAGTGATCCCTGGTCAAGTGGTCCCTGATCAAAGTGATCCCTGGTCAAGTGGTTGCTGGTCAAGTAATCACTAGTCAAAGTGGCCCCTGGTCAAAGTAGTCCCTGATCAAAGTGGTCCCTGGTCAAAGTGGTCCCTGGTCAAAGTGGTCCCTTGTCAAATGGTCCCTGATCAAAGTGGTCCCTGGTCAAAGTGATCCCTGGTCAAATGGTCCCCGGTGAAAGTGGTCCCCGGTCAAAGTGACACCTGGTCAAGTGGTCCCTGTACAAAGTGGTCCCTGGTCAAGTGGTCCCTGGTCAAAGTGGTCTCTGGTCAAAGTGGTCCCAGGTCAAATGGTCCCTGGTCAAAGTGGTCCCTGATCAAAGTGGTCCCTGGTCAAAGTGGTCCCTGGTGAAATGGTCCCTGGTCAATGTGGTCCCTGGTGAAATGGTCCCTGGTCAATGTGGTCCCTGGTCAAGTGGTCCTTGGTCAAAGTGGTCCCTGGTCAAAGTGGTCCCTGGTCAAAGTGGTCCCTGGTGATATGGTCCCTGGTCAAGTGGTCCCTGGTCAAGGTGGTCCCTGGTCAAGGTGGTCCCTGGTCAAAGTGGTCCCTGATCAAAGTGGTCCCTGGTGATATGGTCCCTGGTCAAGTGGTCCCTGGTCAAGGTGGTCCCTGGTCAAAGTGGTCCCTGGTCAAGTGGTCCCTGGTCAAAGTGGTCCCTGGTGAAATGGTCCCTGGTCAAGTGGTCCCTGGTCAAAGTGATCCCTGGTCAAAGTGGTCCCTGGTCAAAGTGGTCCCTGGTCAAGTGGTCTCTGGTCAAGTGGTCCCTGATTAAAGCGGTCCCTGGTCAAAGTGGTCCCTGGTCAAGTGGTCCCTGGTCAAAGTAATCCCTGGTCAAGTGGTCCGTGGTCAAAGTGGTCCCTGGTCAAGTGGTCCCTGAGCAAGTGGTCCCTGGTCAAGTGGTCCCTGGTCAAAGTGGTCCCTGAGCAAGTGGTCCCTGGTCAAGTGGTCCCTGGTCAAGTGGTCCTTTGTCAAAGTGGTCCCTGGTCAAAGCGGTCCCTGGTCAAGTGGTCTCTGGTCACAAAAAAGATTGGGAACCATGAATCTATGCGAAGTTTCCAGGTTTGGGATAATGACAAAACACACCGCATGTTGGAAAGGAGTAGATAATGATTTTCTGAACAGTGATCTCCAACCCTCTTCTATGGATAAGAAGAGGTCGTAGGAGCAGTCCCAGTTCTTAATAAGGAAAAGCCATTCATCAGTATAATGAATTGCCTCAAGGGGAGGGGGTGTCAATTCTTCTTCTTTGGAGGTCTTTTAAGAAGGCTTTTGTGGCTTATTTGGGTTTGTGGATACCTCCATGGCATTGGGTTGGACTAGATTGCCCTTGCAGTCCCTTTCAGTTCTAAGGTTATGATTCTGTCGAATAATGTACCGGGAATTCCTTTCCATTGAGATAAGAGAGCACTTTCAGGGCCAGTTGCCTTCTGCCTACTTTTGATTGAAGCCAAAGATTGAACGGGTTACTTCTTTGAAAGTAAGTAAGGCAGGAAACACATTACCAGCTTGGGTAAGGCTGCTCTTTTTTTTAAAGGCCCAGAGATGGCACGCAATACCCTCGATATCAGAGGAATGGCTGAGATATCGCCGTCGCCCCCTCTCCATGAATTTTTGGACTCCTCTGCCAAAAACTACGCTGCCATCATAGCAGCAAAGCTTTCAGCACAGAAGACACCAGTGGTAAGTAAGAGAAAAAGAAGGCTCTCAATGGTTAGTTATATCTAAAGCCCATGTTTCCTTTTAAAAAGGGTCACCTGTAAGCATCTTAAGTCAATATAAAGCTGGCATGGGCAAACTTGGACCTTCAGTGTTTTGGACTTCAGTTCCCACAATTATGGGAGTTGAAGTCCAAAACACTTGGAGGGAGAGCCCAAGTTTTCCCATGCCTGGTATAAAGCAATATGGTTTTCTTTAATGATCCCTGAAGTGAGGAAATAAACAATGTAGTGAATTTATTGTCGAAGGCTTTCATGGCTGGAATCACAAGGTTCTTGTGGGTTTTTTCGGGCTATATGGCCATGTTCTAGAGGCATTTTCTCCTGACGTTTCGCCTGCATCTATGGCAAGCATCCTCAGAGGTAGTGAGGTCTGTTGGAATTAGGAAAATGGGTTTATATATCTGTGGAATGACTGGGGTGGGGCAAAGAGCTCTTCTCTGCTGGAGCTAGGTGTGAATGTTTCAGCTGACCACCTTCATTAGCATTTGAAGGCCTGGCTGAGCCTGGAGGAATCTTTTGTTGAGAGGTGTCAAGATGTGCCCGGTTGTCTCCTCTCTGCTGTTTCGCCGCTCCACAAACGGGGTGAATGCCCATGCATCATCTGAGCTCCAGGCTCAGCCAGGCCTTCAAATGCTAGTGAAGGTGGTCAGCTGAAACATTCACACCTAGCTCCAGCAGAGAAGAGCTCTTTGCCCCACCCCAGTCAGTCCACAGATATATAAACCCATTTTCCTAATTCCAACAGACCTCACTACCTCTGAGGATGCTTGCCATAGATGCAGGCGAAACGTCAGGAGAAAATGCCTCTAGAACATGGCCATATAGCCCGAAAAAACCCACAAGAACCTAACGTAGTGAATTGCTCAACAGTTTGGTAGATTATTCCTAAAAGGGCCCAAATATGTCGATATCTTGGTGATCCAATTTAAGAGGTAGAAACTTTCATTAGAACAACAAAGGAACAATATACCACAGGACATTGTCAGATCTTATGGATATTAAGTGCACTATAGATTAATAGGCAGCGCAATTCAAATGATGCATGGGCTTTCACCCCATTTGTGTGTTGAAGGCAACTTCCGGACTTCTTGCATGGGTTTCCCCCATCGGCCTATCCATCATAACATCTCCAGCCACCCTTTGTATTGTTCTCCCCTCGGAACAACCTTGAGAGTGCTGCAAATTTACATTGGTGCCTCATAACACAACACCCACACCCCATCATCCAGCATATATACGCATAGCTGTGTAAGTGAATATAGGAGCAGATACACAAATAATTCAGGGAGATACAACATTTTGGATTTCTGGGTGTACTCTTGGGCTTAGTGTTGAGCCTAGAGTCCCATGTTTCTGTAGTAGTCAGGAGTGCCTTTGCACACTTGAAACTTATGCACCATTCTGTGAGAGTTTGGATCCAGCCATGGCGGTACATCCCCCCGGTGGTGCAGCAGGTTAAACTGCTGAGCTGCAGAACTTGCTGACCAAAAGGTCATCAGCTCGAATCTGGGAAGTGGGTGAGCTTCCGCTGTCAGCCCCAGCTTCTGCCAACCTAGTAATTTGAAAACATGCAAATGTGAGTATTTATTTATATTTATTTACATCTTTTATATTCCACCCTTCTCACCCCGCAGGGGACTCCGGGCGGATTACAGTGTACACATATATGGCAAACATTCAATGCCAATTTTTGACATACAAACATATACAGACATACACAGAGGCTATTTAACTTTTTCTGGCCGCCAGGGGAGCTGTCACTTTCATCGTCCATCTGCGACGCTGATGAAGCACTTCCGCATTCCCCGCATGCTTCCCCGCGGAATGCTTTGCTGGAGTCTTCTTTATGGCCTCATAAATCAGTTAATTTAGGAGTAGATCACATACTCCACATAGGTTCCGCTTCTGAGGGAAGGAAACAGCGTTCCATGCAGTCATACTGGCCACATGACCTTGGAAGTGTCTATGGACGACGCTGGCTCTTCGGCTTAGAAATAGAGATGAGCACCAACCCCCAGAGTGAGACACGACTAAATTACCTTTCAGGGGAAACCTTTACCTTTACTTTAACACACTTTGCTTTAAGGGAAAGGCCACAGCCGAATGGTACAGCACAGACCATGGGGCAGTGCAGTTCCTTTTTTGAACTACAACTCCCAGAATCCTCTCTTCTCCACCAACACTGCCAGTACTTAACCTGTGCTTTAAGTGGCCTTTCACATCTCCAGTTAGAATGAAGTATGGGTGATGGCGAAAGCTAAAGTGTCTCCAGTAGGTTAGAGGTCTTCAAAACAAGGCTGGAGAGCTACTTTCTGGGGAAGCTTTCACTGAAGATCCTGCATTGAGGAGGGGTTGGACTCAGTGGCCCATGAGACCCCTTCCAGCTATATGATGCTTATAATCCCTTGAAAGGCTAGCAAGTATTGACCCTACTTGGCTGGATGGACAAATAGTGTAAGGCAGGCATGGGCAAACTTCAGCCTTCCAGGTGTTTTGGACTTCAACACCCACAATTCCTAACAGCCTGTTAGGAATTGTGAGAGTTGAAGTCCAAAACATCTGGAGGGCCGAAGTTTGCCAATGCCTGGTGTAAGGCAACACTTATTTCCCTGTGCATTTAATACTCTGGAGCTGGAGAAGAACTCTCACGGAAGCCTTGTGGAGTCAGGAGGGGTGGGTTGGCCTTCTAGAAGGATGATCTCATAATGCTGACCTTCAGCTGAGCCGGTCTGGCAGCTCTGGGGGGAACACTGTCGTAGAAGTCGCTCATCCCTTGTTTTCCACGTTCTAACCGCTTCTAATGGAGAAGAGAAGCTGGAAACCCATCCGCTACCCACCCGTTAGCAAAAGGCTTTCTTTACAGTGGAGGGAGGTAAGGATGGAGGCAGGAGCAAAAGACAAAGACCCAGAAACAGTTTCTTTAACTCGAGGGCGTGGAAGGAGTGAGTGGCCCATTGACCATAAATGGCTCATGTGGCAGTTACAGCCACTTTTAATTTTCTTGAAAAGCATTGTTTTTAAAAGGCACAAATTATTTTTCAGGGCATATTTATTTATGTAGTTATTTATTTATTTACTACATTTATATACCGCCCCTCTCAGCCCACAGGCGACTCGGAGCGGTTTACAGTCAGTATCAAAGACATAAAATACAATTTAAAAACAATCAATTTAAATATACAACCAAGTAAAACAATCAATATCAATAAAAACATATATCGATTTGAGTCTCCTATTTAAACGTGTTATCCAATAACATCGTCAAGTCGTTGTAGGTTTTTTTCGGGCTATATGGTCATGGTCTAGAGGCATTCTCTCCTGACGTTTCGCCTGCATCTATGGCAAGCATCCTCAAGGGTAGTGACTCACTCTCTCTGAGGATGCTTGCCATAGATGCAGGCGAAACGTCAGGAGAGAATGCCTCTAGACCATGGCCATATAGCCCGAAAAAATCTACAACAACCCAGTGATTCTGGCCATGAAAGGCTTCGACAATACATTGTCAAGTCGTTCCATTTTTCCCCATGTCTGTTATATTGTGTCTGCAAACGCTTGCTCAAAGAGCGACATCTTGATCTGCTTTCAAAATGTTAAAAGGGAAGGGGCCGATCTAATATCCCTGTGGAGTGTGTTCCATAGCTGAAGGGCCACCACTGAGAAGGCCCTGTCTCTCATCCCTGCCAAATGTACTTGTGACAAAGGCTGGATCGAGAGCAGGGCCTCTCTAGACGATCTTAAAGTCCTGGAGGGTTCATAATTTATAGTCCGCCCTTCTCACCCTGTAGGGGACTCAGGGCAGATTACAATGCACACATACATGGCAAAAATTCAATGCCATTTGGATATACAACATATACAGACAGACACAGAGGCAATTTAACATTCCAGCTTTTCTGGCTTCATGAGGGTACGCTCAATTCCATCCACAGGGGGAGCTGCCGCTTCACCGTCCACTTGTGACACCAGATTCTTGATGGAGTACTTCCTCATTCTTGAGTATGCTGCTGGAAGGTTTTATGGCATCATAAATTAGTTAAATTAGCCTCCCCGCATAAAGTGATACCTAAATTTCCTATGTGACAGATGCAACTGTCTTTCGGGCTGCATAGGTCAACAACAAGCTAAACTATTAATGGTCGGGAGCTTACTCTGACCCCGGCTGGGTTTGAACTCATGACCTCTTGGTCAGTAGTGATTTAATGCAGCTGGCTATTAACTAGCTGTGCTATAGCCCGATCCTGGGTACAGACTACCAAGGGCATTGCTGGTCTCGGGCACCAACACTGGCTGACCATTTTTTCTGCAGCCTCCACATGAAGAAAAATCCAGCAAATTGCTTTCTATCTATCACTTTATTTTATAATTGGCAGGTGAAACTTTCACACTTATATAGAAGAGCAGTAGACGTATGCAGAGTCTCACCTGTGCAAAATAAATGACCAAAGAACCCTTGTGTGACAAGCTTTCCAATAATATCTTGGTTTCCAACTGCATTGGATTTTGCTCTGCTCATTGAATCAGGTGGGATCCAGAACATGGAAATTTTGGAGTTCCCAGAATCTTCCAGCCAACATAACCACTGACTGTCTTGACTGGGAGATTCTGGAAGGGACTGGGGAACTTCCCATTTGGAATCTGGTTTCCTTTCTCTACTGTTCCAGAGCGAGGTGCCTTTGCAATTTCCCAGTTCCTCCAGATTTGGGGATATTTAATACTGATGATGTCTGTTGGGGTTCAGCCTGTGTGTGAACCTGAACTTGATTCTCTGATTGTATTTCCTGATGCCAATGTAGATGTTAATGTGAATTCTGAGGCCAATTTAGATGATGATGGTTTGAGTAGTGAAAATCCTACAGCCTTGGAAAGTGAAAGTCAAGATTCCCATGAGAACATGCATTCCGAGCCGAGCGGAGACGGTTCACTCCCTTTTCCTCCCAGTCTTAGTTCTCCAGAGAATCTGACACCTGGCCTGCCTAATGAGGATAGGCGGGGGCAGATTTGGCAGAGCCGGGAATCATAGAATCATAGAATCATAGAATCAAAGAGTTGGAAGAGACCTCATGGGCCATCCAGTCCAACCCCCTGCCAAGAAGCAGGAATATTGCATTCAAATCACCCCTGACAGATGGCCATCCAGCCTCTGCTTAAAAGCTTCCAAAGGAGGAGCCTCCACCACACTCCGGGGCAGAGAGTTCCACTGCTGAACGGCTCTCACAGTCAGGAAGTTCTTCCTAATGTTCAGATGGAATCTCCTCTCTTGTAGTTTGAAGCCATTGTTCCCGTCCTAGTCTCCAGGGAAGCAGAAAACAAGCTTGCTCCCTCCTCCCTGTGGCTTCCTCTCACATATCTATACATGGCTATCATATCTCCTCTCAGCCTTCTCTTCTTCAGGCTAAACATGCCCAGCTCCTTAAGCCGCTCCTCATAGGGCTTGTTCTCCAGACCCTTGATCATTTTAGTCGCCCTCCTCTGGACACATTCTAGCTTGTCAATATCTCTCTTGAATTGTGGTGCCCAGAATTGGACACAATATTCCAGATGTGGTCTAACCAAAGCAGAATAGAGGGGTAGCATTACTTCCTTAGATCTAGACACTATGCTCCTATTGATGCAGGCCAAAACCCCATTGGCTTTTTTTGCCGCCACATCACATTGTTGGCTCATGTTTAACTTGTTGTCCACGAGGACTCCAAGATCTTTTTCACACGTACTGCTCTCGAGCCAGGCATCCCCCATTCTGTATCTTTGCATTTCTGTATCTTTGCATTTGAAGAAGCTCAAAGTTTACGTAGGTCAGCTAGATTGAGAGAAATCCAAACAAAAACTTCAGGCGTGTCTCGCAATAGATTTCTCAGCCTTAAGTATGCCTGGCCTGAATGCAGCTTCAGACCAGACATCGTTCCAGATTCATGTGCAGGCTTTTGCAGGTCTCCTGATTCAAGTGGCCTTGTTCCTCGGAGGTTTTCTAGTTGTTCCAAGTACGGTTAGTGGATTGCTAACAGGTTCCAGGATACAGCAGTTTTGCTGTGGGTTTTATGATCTTGTTTATGGACATTTCTTGTTGCTGATTTTTACTGTGACTTTTTACCTTTGGATTTTTCCTCTTGTACTCATCTTTCATCAATAAAGAAAGATTGTTTTCCTGAAGTCAAGTGTGGTGGATTGTTGTCTGAGGGTCCAGTTTCCTGCTCTGGGTCACAACAATGTCCTTGTTTGTCTTATTCAGGAAGAAGCTTCTCTGCTGAGGCGGCAACGGACAGCCAGGCAGGGCCTGATGGGGAAAGTGGTCAGCTCCTACTCCCAGCTGTTTGAAAGGTAAGACAAAGGGGATGAAGGAGTTGCCATCAGCAGGAGAGAACAAAAACATCATTTTGTTCCAAAATCTGAGCAAATAGATCACAGAGGTTTTGTGCTTCCCTTCTAAAGGACGTGGCAGCCATGACCCACAAAAGAGACTTGGCATGACTTTCACCCCATTCTAGACTACTTCCATAAGAGATACAGAAGTCTAGTTTTGTAGCACACCAGACATGTAGCTATGTCATTGCAAACATACATCTTATAGCCTCTGAACCCTGGATTCTGTTTGTGGAAAAACAGGAGCATTTTACCTCAATACACTTTGTTTTGCAAACATATTTTTTCACAAGATATCATACAATACATAATAAATGATAAAGATTTCCCCCTGACATTAAGTCCAGTTGTGTCTGGCTCTGGAGGTTGGTGCTCATCTCCATTTCTAAGCCGAAGAGCCGGTGTTGTCCGTAGACACCTCCAAGGTCATGTGGCCAGCATGACTACATGGAGTGCCGTTACCTTCCCGCTGGAATGTTTTTGAACTGCTAGGTTGGCAGAAGCTGGGGCTAACAGCAGGAGCTCACCCCGCTCCCCAGATTTGAACTGGCAACCTTTTGGTCAGCAGTTTCAGCAGCTCAGTGCTTTAACCCACTGTGCCACCGGGGGTTCCCATAGAATACATATAATAATTTGAAACTCACCAACTAATAGGGCCTCTCCAGATGATCTTTAACCTCATGATGATTCGCAGTAGGAGATACGTTCGGACATATAGTCTGAGCCAAAACTGTTTAGAGCTTATGGTACATAACAGAAAAGTAAATCATAACAGATATATTTATCATTTATTTATTGAAAACATTTATATTCTGCCCTTCTCAACCCCAAAGGGGACTCAGAGCAGAGCACAGCATATATACGGCAAACATTCAATGCTGGGACAAGAAATTATATAAGTATGCATAAACATTAAAAACATTTATCAAAATATTAAAATACACCATTTAAAACCGTCAAATCTAAATTGGCCTGTTAAAGTTTCCTATCGCCGCCTTATTGCCCTGTCCTGAAAGCTTGGTCCCACAGCCAAGTTTTTACCATCCTTCTGAAGTACAGGAGGGAGGGGGCCGATCTGATCTCACCAGGAAGGGAGTTCCATAGCCGGGGGGCAATCACCGAGAAGGCCCTGTCTCTCATCCCCACCAGTCACACCTATGACAATGGTGGGACGGAGAGCAGGGCCTCCCTGGAGGATCTTAATCTCCGCGATGGTTCATAGGGGGAGATGTGTTTGGACAGGTAAATTGGGCCAGGGCCATTTAGGGCTTTATAGGCCAAAGCCAGCACTTTGAATTGTGCCCGGTGGCAACCTGGCAGCCAGTGGAGCTGGCGTAACATGGGAGTTATATGTTCCCTGTATGCTGCCCCAATTATTAACCTGGCTGCCTCTCGTTGGACTATTTGAAGCTTCCGAGCAATCTTCAAAGGCAACCCCACGTAGAGCCCATTGCAGTAGTCTATCCTAGATGTAATGAGAGCGTGGACCACCGTGGCCAAGTCCGACTTCCCAAGGTACAGGCGTAGTCATGTAGCAATATTTTTGATGTATACATGCCTATCTACCAGTTAATTTTGACACTGAGTACATATTATTATCTTAAAACATATAGACTTGCTATTTCTACATGTTATCCACTATTTTCAGTCTAACCTTTCTATTAAATTTTTCCCCCATAACATTCAGAGAACCAACACGATGTATGACACACGGCAGACCATACTCATCCCAAAACCACGATCCCATTATTATTTTATTTCTTTGTTGACTACTAGCTGTCCCCTGCCAGGCGTTGCTGTGGCCCAGTTTGGTGATCTGGAAAATAATGTAATGAGAAAGTGTTGGTTTTTAATATATGTAATTCCTTTATGCTTGTGGGTAAGCAGTATTTCTTGCTGTTTCTTTGTCAGTGTTGATGTTGAGATTGTTTGGTTTGCCTATACTGGAACATGCAACCTATTATTGTCCTTCTTTAGGGGTCCCTTTCAAATCTATGATACTATATCTGTGTGTTTTTGTGAATCATATATATCTCTCTATATCTATGTCTGGATGGCTCTTTGTCAGGAGGGCTTTGATTATGTTTTCTTGCCCTAGTGAAGGTAGTTGGACAGGATGGCCTTCAGTATTTTCTGTTGGTCATGGGGGTTCTGTGTGAGACGTTTGCCCCAATTCTGTCATTGGTGGGGTTCAGAATGCTCTTCGATTGTAGGTACCTACAACTCCCAAATGTCAAGATTCTATTTTCCCCAAACTCCCCCAGTGTTCACATTTGAGCATATTGAGTATTCGTGTAGAGTTTGGTCCAGATCCATCATTGTTTTAGTTCACACTGCTCTCTGGATGTAGGTGAACTACAACTCCCAAAGTCAAGGTCAATGCCCACCAAACCCTTCTGGTGTTTTCTGTTGGTCATGGGAGTCCTGCGTGCCATGTCTGGTTCAATTCCATCATTGGTGGAGTTTATAATGTTCTTTGATTGTAGGTGAACTATAAATCCCAGCAGCTATAACTCCCAAATGACTAAATCAATTTTTTAGTGATGGTCACTCCTTGGGTTAGTAGGTGTCTTGTGTCCAAATTTTGTGTCAATTCATCCAGTAGTTTTTGAGTTCTGTTAATCCCACAAACGAACATTACATTTCAATTTATATAGATCAGGTGACATCCACTTGGAGCAATCTCTGTGGCTTCCTGAAGAATGTGCTTGCAATGAGCAAACGGTTGGCCTCACAAAACTCAATAAGTCACTCTTCTTCTCTGTTTCTTGGCAATTGTGGTGCCAAATTTGAGATGTTAGTAGGCACTAAATGATGATCTCCCCGATGCCATCGTCTGCCCTCTAAAAATATGCCCCGAGACACGGCTGATGTCGGCGTTCACACTTTGTGAATGTTTAGTTCAAAGGAGAAAGCTCGCTGTCTGAAAACTAATCATGGAAAAGCTTCAATAGATTCCTGTCTGTTTTTCTTCTCTCCTCCTTTTGCCCAGCTTTGCTCTTGACAAAAAAACCCACCTGCTTTAATTTAGAACAGAATGGCCTCTTTCACAGAAAGCGTTTCTTTGCTCCGAGAGTTCAGCGGTGGCACCTCCGCGCGCTTTGCGATTCTCTGCTTAATCACTGTGTTGCCAGGAGACAGAAAATGGCTTTTGATTGAGAGCTCATCGCTAGACAAAGCGTTGACTTTCTTTTTCCTGCGGGTGCCATCTTGATAGAGCGAACATTCACTTAGCGAGGGTGCTAAAGAGATACACGCTCCGATCGGTTGTGCACACTTTGGACCTGGGAGGAAATGGGGAAGAGCACTTGGTCATAAAATACTTTACACATCCACCTGAATAATGCAGCGTTTAAAAAAAGGCTGATCTGCCTTAAGGTGCAGACAGAGAACATTTTAATACATTTTAGTTTAATGTCAGCCAGTTTCCTCCTAAATCCATCTATTGGCTTCAAATCTGAACAGCAGCAAAAATGGCACTTGGTTGCCATTGACTTCATCAATTTATGTATTTAGTTACAGTATTTCTATTCCGCCCTTCTCACCCTGCAGGGGACTCAGGGCGGATTACATTGTACACATATATGGCAAACATTCAATGCCAATTTGACATACAACGTATACAGACATACACAGAGGCCATTTAACTGTTTCTGGCTGCCAGGGGAACTGTCGCTTTCATTGTCCATCTGTGACACTGATGAAGTACTTCCGCATTCCCTGCATGCTTTTTGCTGGAGTGCTTTGCTGGAGTCTTTTTTATGGCCTCATAAATTAGTTAATTTATCCTCCCCACAAAAGGTGGTACCTAATTTTTCTACTTGACAGATGCAACTGTCTTTCGGGTTGCAAAGGTCGACAACAGGCTACACAATTGGTTGGAAGCCCACTCCAATCCGGACTGGCTTCGAACTCATGACCTTTTGGTCAGAGTGATCTTAATGCAGCTGACACTCAGCCAGCTGCGCCACAATCCCGGTCAGTACTTACTTACTTAGGCAATCCCTCATAGCCTAAGGATGATGGCCCTCCAAGTGCAGTGTCTTGCTGGTGAGTCCGTAGATGGCTGTGGAGCCCTATTCCTCAACTCATATTCTCCCACAGTGAGGACATCAGTTTCCAGGGTTGGCTTGGTGCAACTTCCTCTAGACACATTTCTCCCTTTCGCCCTCCATTCGTGCCTCTTTGAATTCTGCAGCACTGCTGGTCACAACTGACCTCCATTTAGAGCACTCAAGGGCCAGGGCTTCCCAGTTCTCTGTGTCTATGCCAGAGTTTTTAAGGCTGGCTTTGAGCCCATCTTTAAATCTCTTTTTCTGTCCTCCAACATTCCGTTTTCCATTCTTGAGTTCGGAGTAGAGCAACTGCTTTGGGATACAACGTGGCCAGTCCAGTGGAGTTGATGGCAGAGGACCATCACTTCAGTGCTGGTGGTCTTTGCTTCTTTAGCACGCTGAAATTTGTCTACCTGTCTTCCGAGGAGATTTGCAGGATTTTCCATCTTTATATCTCTTTTCCTGTCCACCAACATTACATTTCCCCAATCCTGAGTTGGGAGTATAGTAACTGTGTTGGGAGACGATGAGATTCCCAGTCTCTTGGGAAGACAAACATGCTGGAAGATGCAAAGACCACCAACATTGAAGCAATGCTCATCCACCATCAACTCCGCTGAACTGGCCATGTTCTCTGAATACCCAATCACTGTTTCTCAAAGCTGTTACTCTACTCCCAACTCAAGAACATGCCAAGAGGAAGGTGCGTCAAGCCAACCCTGGGGCCGCCTTCCACCTGGAAACCAATGTCCTCACTGCAGGAAAACATGCGGATCAAGAATGGGGCTCCACAGCCACCTACAGACCCACCACCAAGACACTAGACTTGGAGGACCATCATCCTCGGATTACAAGTGATAGAATCATAGAATCTTTGAGTTGGAAGAGACCTTGTGTGCCATC